GAAACTGAAGGCTGTAAACCCGGGAGAATTAGAGTTACAGAGTTAAAGAGCATTAAAAACCCACAGTGAGTTGCTCATATCTGCCTGCCATACCTGCAGTTGAAGTTCATACCATGTGTGATTGTTACGAACTTTCTTCTTTGTGAGCAACTTGGTAGAACTCATCAGTTGCATCTGCTGTATTTTCACATGTTAATTAAACATCATCAATAAAACGTACATACAAAAGTACATAGCTGATAGTGGGGAATAAGTGATTAAAAATATGCTCTAAATAGACAAAAGGAGCACCTATGTGTGGCGGCATAGCTGGGTTTGGTTTAAGCAGCAGTAGTAGATTGTTAGCATTAGCTCCTCCTGGATATCTGTGCTGCTGTCCAGAGCCATGCAGCAAGCCCAGAGGGCCTTTGTAGTTTCAAGGGACTTTCCATTCCAAGTGGGAGTAGAGAGTAACAGAAAATGACTAGGAATTGCTACTGGCACTTCCTGGGAAGTATGTGCAGGGGGTGGTGTGTGTGTCAGTCAAAGTCTTGTCCTGTCATCCAGACTGGAATTCTTGGGAAGTACGTGCAGGGTGTGTGTGTGTGCGCGCGCGCGTCTCTGCGCGCACTTGGGAAGTATGTGCAGGGGGTTGTGTGTATGTGTGTGTCAGTCAAGGTCGTGCCCTGTCATCCGGGCTGGAATACAGTGGTGTGAACATAGTTGGCTGCAGCCTTGACCTCATGGGCTTGAACAATCCTCCTACCTCAGCCTCCTAAATAGCTGGGACTGGAGGCAAGCATCAAGACACCCAGCAAATTTAATTTTACTTTTTGTAGAGACAGGGCCTCCCTTTGTTGCCCAGGCTAGTCTTGAGCTCCTGGCCTCAGACCATCCTCCTACCTCAGCCTTCCGAAGTGCTGGCATAACAGGCTTGGGCCACCTCACCTGGCCCTATTCAGGTTCTTTTGTACTGATCAATGTCCTTAAATAACAGAAGATACCCCCACTCTGCCCATTTTCCCCAACTGTTATCTCCAATGTACTGTTGAGAAAATCGAAACTTAAAAGAAATTAACTTGCCCAAGCTCCTGTACCAGTGAGAGACAGGATCAAGTATTAGTTTCTTTTAGCCCTCCTGCTCAGATCAACACAGCTCCACTCCAATGAAAAACTCTGACAACTACCTCTCCACTCAAGCTTTCTTTTTTTAATTTCATGCCTTTGTTTTTAGACTGCCTAAATTTGAGGTAAAAAACCAAGAAAGATTTCTGTTAAGGCATATCTGAATAGATCTGAATATAAGGAAGGCACATAGAGAAATTGTCAGTTAAACTAATTGGAACAGGTTCTTTGGATTTGTTGTTGTCCTCTACTTGAAAAGTAAAATGATACAGAAAAAAAGCTTGCTAGCAGGGGTTTATATTGAAAAGCAAGTTTTAGGCTATGTCCCAGAGTCACTTTGAAAGAGTCTTGTCACTTCCTCGTGTCTTACAAGAATATTCTTAATACAGAATCATAACTCTAAGGCAATGGAAAACAGTTTTACTCAAAATCCTGAGCTGTTTATTAAAGCCAGAAGATAGCCTGTGTTCTGTAAAAAGATTTCTAGTAGTTTACCCAGAAAATGTCATTTGGAATTAAACCCGTTACTAACTAGTTGAGATTTTACTTTTAGTCCAAACATTCTCTTCTGTAAATGGAATCTTTCTAAGAGAAAGTGGAATTTAGAGCTAGTACCACGTGTGTGCTCACCTCATCAGAATCCTGCTGTGCTGGCATCCAGAGGGTTCCCTATCCACTGTGCTGACCTACGGTGCCTCACAGGCGAGATCACTGCAGCACATCTCACCGACCCCCTGCCCATATGTCAGCATCAAGTCCTGTCGGTTTTACCCCCAAATTGTCTAAATGCAGCCTCTTACATGCATTTCCACCACCAGTACCCAAACACTTCCATGTCATCCCTAACCCAGCAACAGCCATTGTTGGCCCTAGTTTCCTGCACATTAGCCTCCTACCCCCTCAGATTTTGGCTCCACTGTATCAGTTCCCTACACCCTGCCTGCTTGTCCCTCCACACAACACTTTGTTCCCCTTCCCCAAGGTAGCTCTTACTCATTCTTTATGACTCGGGTCAAGCTACACGCCCTCAAGAATGCTTTTCTGACCTCCTTAACTAGGTTGACGACATTTCCTGTATGCCCTGAAGTAGTATTTACATCACTGTTTAAATTTTGCTTTACCCCTAGATCATTCTGTGAGCTCCTGGAGGGTAGACACTAGGTGAACTTTGGCTCCCCATTTCAGCCTCTGCAGACAGCCATGCAATAAAAATTTGTTGAATGAATAAAAAAAAGTATTATACTTTTGACCTGGCCACTGTTTTAAGCCTGAATTAATGCATTTAACCCTAATGACATTTCTGTGAGGTGAGTGCTGTTATTAACCCCACACCTGCAGGTTGAGGAATAAAGGTTAGGAATTTGGCCACGAAGGCATAGCTAGAAAGTGGAGCCACTTACCAAGCAGTTACTTAGGTTCCAGAGCATGCATACTTAACCCTTCTACAGCAGCGCCCAAGTACTTGTAACAAGGCTAGAGGTGGCCTGGTCCTGGGGTTTGGTGATTTAGTGCTTGACAGTGTCATGATAGGTCCAGGTCTCTCCGTCTTGCCACTGTTCTGTCCTCAGCAGGCTGGCTTTGTCTTTAGGGCTGTCCCCTCGTGGCGATACAGTGGCTGCTACAGATCCCACTGTCTAGACCTCACAGAGGCCAGGCAAAAAAAATTACCTGTTCCTCCCTCTTCTCTCTCTTTGAAAGGGTGAAACTTTTATACTTGTAATCCTAGCACTTTTGGAGGCTGAGATGGGAGAATTGCTTGAGCCAAGGAGTTGAAGAACAGTCCAGACAACATAGTGAGACCCCATCTCTACAAAAACTTTTTTAAAAAATTAGCTGAATGTGGTAGCACACACCTGTAGTCTCAGCTACTCAAGAGGCTCGGGTGGGAGAATCACCTGAGCCTGAGAGGTAGAGGCTGCAGTGAGCCATGATTATGCCACTGCACTACAGCCTGGGTGACAGAGCAAGACATTTTCTTAAAATTAAAAAAAGAGAAAAATGAGAGTGGTGCAAAATGTTTGCAAAAGGCTTTTTTCTTGCAGGCTTTCCTACCAGAAATGCTTGACATACCCATTTCTAAATGGCCACCACTCACTGTGATTCATCCCCCAAGGTGGGGAGGGACATATCTTTTGGGCTCCTTGATTAAGAAAGTGACAGCAAGAGTCTGCGCACGGTGGTTCATGCCTGTAATTCCAGCACTTTGGGAGGCCGAGGTGAGCAGATCATGAGGTCAGGAGTTTGAGACCAGCCTGGCCAACGTGGCAAAACCCTCTCTCTACTAAAAATACAAAAATTAGCCGGGTGTGGTGATGCACACCTGTAATCCCAGCTACTCAGGAGGCTGAGGCAGGAGAATAACTTGAACCCAGGAGGCAGAGGTTGCAGTGAGCCAACATCGTGCCATTGCACTCCAGCCAGGGGGACAGAGCGAGATTCTGTCTCGGAAAAAAAAAAGAAATTGGGAGTCCACATGGCTGCAGCGTGGCCACCGACGGACTACTCACGCTTCCTCAAGTTGATAATGAGTTCTTTTGGAGTCTGAGATGCTCTGTGGCACTGACAAAAATAGACAGTCTAGGACTACCAGAAATGCTGTGAATTTGTCCTTGGTTTACTTTAGGCCACATGGTAAATAAACGTGCTGATTATCGGCACCAAGAAATACCGGCAAAGCTTTTAAAAGACTAATCTCTTCCAGTCCTTGTCCTTACCTGTTTTGTCTCTGGAGGATGCCAGGGATGGTCATCCAGAATCTCAGCTCTGACCCTGAAGCAAGTTATTTTCCCTCTGGTGTCTCAAGAGTTTGGTGTGAAGTGTTAGGAGCGCTTGCCAGGTGGAATAGTGCAGAGAGCTAGATGAGATCATTCAGTCTGAGCATGGGGAGTGATTGGGCTTTGCTGTTGCTGGCATTAGCATAGTTTCCCATCAGTGTTGTGTCGGGGGCCTGAGCCAGCTCAGTGTAATTGCTTAGGGAACACTCTTATTTTTCATAGAAGCAGGAACAAGTTTCTGTTTCTTCCAACTAGCCTTACTGGTTGTGTGCCTCTGCTACCTGAACAGCCTGCATCTTTAGTAGGGTCACATGTGGTTGAGTTTTATGAATATGTTTATTGCTGATAGGACATATTTCTTACCCTGACAGGATGAGCACTTACAACAGCCACATCACAGGGCTGACAGAGATGTGACCCACTTTAAGAAAACCTGACCATATAAGGAGGAGTGTCTCAATTAACAAAATAATGTCTCACTTAGCCAGAAATTCATGGCAGGTTTTCTGGTGCATTTAAAATAAGATGCATATATAAAAATACCATTTGCACACAGGAGCCCATATTTTCTGAAAAGGGAATTATACTTGTATTGGGCATTTGGGGTAAGTAGATCAAAAATAAAAATAAAATCTTCTTACAAGAACTAGAAACCAGATTCCACTTTTAATTCTAAAAGGTTTATATATAACTCTACTATCTTACCCTTTCCTTCCCCAGATTTTCACAGCAGAAGTAAACAGGGAAGATCTGCAGGCCACTTACGATAGCAGCAAGGAAATGCCTAGCAGAGTATGTGGGTGGGTGGATGGGGGAGCACCAGAGGCAAGGCTGGGGACCCCACTCTGGCATGTCCTTTATGACATGGATTGCTTATTGCACCCTGTTGTGTTGTTGATTTGAGAACATTTGTGAGGCTTGGCCTGAAACATTATTGCTGGATCCCTTCCCATGATGTGGTCAGTGAGTAGTGTTTAGAAATTGACCAGCCCATCCTGCCACCACAGACTCCTCTAACCACAGAGACACGTGCTGAGGTCTAACAGATGGGAACCAGGGAAGGGCCAGAGGAGAGGGCTGAATCTGGGATACTGACATGCCTGACTTTTCCCTTCTTTTCAGAAATGTTCCCACTGCCAGGAGGCAGGTGCCACCTTGGGCTGCTACAACAAAGGCTGCTCCTTCCGATACCATTACCCGTGTGCCATTGATGCAGGTAAGAGGAGACCACAGACCCCTGTCCAGAGCATCCAGAGAGTTAGGACATTCAGTTTGATTCTCTCCATTTTTCTTTTGTCAGTTCATAAAAAAATTCCTACCCCCTTCCCCTTCCTCCATTCCCTGGCAACCACTACTCTGTTTTCTTTTATAAATTTTTACTTTTTTTTTTTTCTTGAAGCTCTGTTGGACTCAGTCCTTTCTATCTCTGTGGACTTCCCTGTGCTGTACATTTGGGTTATTTCTACTTTTTGACTGTTACGAATAATGCTGCTATAGAGCATTCACATACAAGCATTTGTATGAACATGTTTTCTTTTCTCTTGGATGTATACCTGGGAGTAGAATTGCTGGATCATACGGTAACTCTGTGTAACCTTTTAAGGAACTACCAGACTGTTTTCCAAAGTGGCTGCCCTGTTTTACATTCCCACCGCAAGTGCATGAGGGTTCTCCTTTCCCCAGATCCTCCCTGATGCTTGCTCTCATGGTTTTTTTTTTTTTTTTTTTTTTGGTGTTTTTTTAAATGTAGCCAACCCAGTGGGTAAGAAATGGTAGTTCATTGTGATTTTTATTTGTATTTCCCTGATGGCTAATAATGTTGAGCATTTTTTAATGTGCTTATTGGCCATTTGTACATCTTCTTTGGAGAAATAGATATTCACATCCTTTGCCCATTGTTAAATTGGGTTATTTAATCTTTTTATTGTCAAGTTTTAAGAATTATTTGTAGGCTGGGCCTGGTGGCTCACACCTGTAATTCCAGCACTTTGGATGGCTGAGGTGGGCAGATCATGAGGTCAGGAGTTCGAGACTAGCCTGGCCAATATAGTGAAACCCCGTTTCTACTAAAAATAAAAAAAATTAGCTGGGCATGATGGTGCACTCCTGTAGTCCCAGCTACTCGAGAGTCTGAGGCAGGAGAATCGCTTGAACCCAGGAGGCCGAGGTTGTGGTGAGCCGAGATCATACCACTGAACTCCAGCCTAAGCAACAGAGTGAGACACAAAAAACAAAAAAGGGATTATTTGTAATTCTGGATATCTGGTTTGCAAATATTTTCTTCTATTCTCTGAATTGTCTTTTTACTTTGATAGAATCACACAGGCAGTTCTCCATTGGACATCAACTGGGTGTCCTGCAGTTTAGTTCAGTTCCGACACTAGGCAGAGTTAGTACAGCCCATACAGGTTTAAGGGCTCAGTCCCACTAGACCACTCCCCACTTCAGATGCCAGTCTCGAGCCCTGTGATATGACCTGTGTTTCTGAATGATCAGCTATAAACTGGGGTTCCCAAGACCCCTTCCTTGGGTTTGATTAATGTTTAACATGGCTCACGGAACTCAGGGAAACACTTCACTTGTGTTTACACATTATAAAGAATACAGATGAACAGCCAGATGAAAGAGACACATAGGGCCAGATATGTGGGAAGGGGCATGCCCTCTCCTGGGGCACCACCCCTGAGGTACCCTCATGTGCTCAGCAGTCCAGAAGCTCTCTGAATCCAGTAGTTCATGGATTCTTGGAGGCTTAATTATGTAGGCATAATCAGTTATTAACTCAGTCTTCACCTCCTCTCTCCTTCCTGGAGTGGGGTGGGTAGAGCTAAAAGTTCCAAGCTTTTAATCATGGCCTAGTCTCTCTGGTGCCTAGCCCCCATCCAGGAGCCACCAAGAGTTGCCTCGTGCTCCTATCATCCAGGAAATTCTAAGGGGTTAGGAGCTCCATGTCAGGAACCAGGATCAAAAACCAAATATTAAAAGATTCTCCTAGGACCCCAGATTGCTCAGGAATTTACATGGGTTTTAGGAGCTCTGTGCCAGGAATCAGGGATGAAAACTAAAATATGTCTTTCTTTCTCTAAACCACAGAATTACAAGGAGTGTTGCATTGTGTTTGTTGAGATGATAGGGTGGTGTTTTGCATGTGTTAATGGTTGAAAGAAGGGAAACATTCTGTTAAAGAAGTGCCATCCAGTGAATGGTACAGAAGACCACAGTTTCTGTACCATTTCTGACTCAGAGCTTCGATAACCTGGGAGAATCGCCTTTCTTTTTCTAGACTTTAGTCCCTTTGGTGGGTGTTTTCCCCAGTTACTTTTTCGGCGGCAGGGTGGTTGTTAATTTTAAGTTTATTAGGATTTTTACTTTTTTTTTTTTTTTTTTGGAAACAAAGTTTTGCTGTTATTGCCCAGACTAGAGTGCAATGGCATGATCTCAGCTCACTGCAACCTCCACCTCTTGTGTTCAAACCATTCTCCTGCCTCAGCCTCCCGAGTAGCTGGGATTACAGGTTCACATGATCACACCCAGCTGATTTTTAAATTTTTACTAGAGATGGGGTTTTGCCATGTTAACAAGGCTGATTTCCAAACTCCTGGCCTCAGGTGATCCACCCGCCTTGGTCTCCGAAAGTGCTGGGATTAGAGATGTGAGCCACTGTGACCAGCCTTTTTTACTTTTTTTAATGGACAATAATTGTAGACATGGGGTACTCAGTAGTGTGTGTGTGTGTGTGTGTGTGTGTGTGTGTGTGTGTGTGTCTAAATAAAATGATCCGACCTGGGTAGTTAGCATATCCAACATCTCAAACATCATGTTGGAACATTTGGTATCTTGTGGTCATTTGAAACTATACAATACATTGTTGTTAACTGTTGTCATCCTGTAGTGAACACTAGAACTTATTTTTCCCATCTAGATGTAATTTTGTATTCTTTAACAAATCTCTACTTACCCCTTCCTTTCCTTTCCCCTTCCTAGCCTCTAGTATCCTCTGTTCTACTTTTTATTAATACTTCTATAAGATCGGCTTTTTTAGTTTCCATGTGAGTGAGAACATGCAGCTTTTAACTTGATGTGCTTGACATAATGTCTTCTTGTTATTTCTTGAGCATTAGATGTGTCTAAGACCATCACACCCAGGCAGCCCCCATAATGCCTGTGGTCACGTTTGAGGAAAAGTAGTGGGAGTGGGAGAAGGCAGCAAGTAGCATGGTACTTGTCATCTGCGTGCCCCCCCTCTCTGTGCTTCCCCAGGAGGGAAGCAGGGCTTTCCATGGAGGCAGCTACACTGTCCCTAGGAGGTGGGGTTTGATTTGAATATGGTGGTAAGGGGAAGAGGGTATGGCTGACTGCATAATGGGAACAGGCAAGAGGCATAACGCACATAGAGCAAGGCCCACCAGACTTGGATCAGGTCTCAGAGCTCATCCTGCCCACCCTTCCTTCAAGCACAGCAGTTACTGCAGCTCCTGACTTTTGTTATCAGCATGTCTCCATTCCTCCACATCCGTCTTGCCCTTACTTCCCGCTTCCCTCTTTTCTCTCCAAGCTTCTGTAGGAGAAACAGCTAAAAAGAACAAGAGAGGTATAGAGGAGAACGCTGTTGCCAGTTAGATTCTTATAAAAGTGTGTGTGTGCACACGTACCTGTGCACTGAAGGGCAGCTTGATGCCAAGGCACTATTTGATCAGAGGAAAAATAGGAAATCAGAAATAGAGTGCCAGGTGCAGTGGTTCACACCTGTAATCTCAGCACTTTGAGAAGCTGAGATGGGAAGAGTGCTTGAGCCCAGAAGTTTGAGAGCAGCCTGGCCAACATGGCAAAACCCCATCTCTACAAAAAATAAATAAAAATTAGCCAGGCATGGTAACTCTTGCCTGTAGCCCTAGCTACCGAGGAGGCCGAGATGGAAGGATCATCTGAGCCCAGGAGGGGCTGCATGCGCTGTGATTGGCCACTGCACTCCAGCCTGGGCTACAGAGTGAGACCCCATCTCAAAAAAAAAAAAAAAAAAAAAAGCCTTGAAATATCAGTGCAGGAAGCTTGGGTTTTAGTCCATCCCCTTCATTCTCTTTTCTCCTCCAAATGTTTTCATGTTAAGTCTAAGCAGTAATTTACCCTGGGTCATAGTCTGCCATATTCGATAGTACAGCAGTTAAATTCTTCTCAAGAGCTAACCAGTTAACCAGGTATGGTGGTTCACAACTGTAATCCCAGCTACTCAGGAGGCTGTGGCTAGAGGACTGCTTGAGGCCAGAAATTCAAGTTCAGCTTAGATAACATAGCGAGAACTGGTCTGTTCAAAATAAGTTTTTAAAAGAGCCAACCAAAGAGCCTTTTCTCATTTTCATTACCCTTAGTTACATCAGAACGTTGTGTTTTCTTCCTGTAGTCTAGTTACTAGGAAAGGAGGAGTGGTAATACAAATAAGTTTTTTGTTCCTAGTTGAAGAAAATGGCTTTTTGGTGATTTTTTTTTTTTTTTTTTTTTGAGACAGGGTTTAACTATGTTGCCCAGGCTAGACTCAGACTCTTGGACTCAAGCGATCCTTCCAAGTAGCTGGGAATACAGGCATGTGCCATCATGTCCAGCTACATAGGAGGATCTTTAAGTATTAAGTTTTTTCTGGTTTATTATTCTATATTGGGAATACTTTATGTGTTGACTCTCCCAGTTGGCAGCTGGGTAAGAAGTGGTCTCCCCACGGAGGCTGTGTTCAGGGATACATTAGGGTGAGCAGACAGGACAGGCAGGTACCACATCCCACCCAAGCACACTTCAGCAAGGGCCCCCCCTGGAGGTTGCCCCTGCTCTTGGTTCATAGCCTGCCTCGTAGTCCAGTTTCTAAGATGTGAGGCAGCAAAGCCCAGCTTTGCAGTGATGTAAATGCTTTAGCTCTGCACTCTCCAATGTGGTAACCACAAACCAGGTGTGACCATTGAGTCCTAGTGGGACTGAGGAAATGAAATTTTTTTTTTGAATTTTCACTTAAGTGGCCATGTATGGCTAGTGGCTGAACAGCACAGGCTTAGAGCTACCCTCATCAATCCATGTTCAGGTAGTATGGGTTGGGATTCTTTGGAAGGGGCCATAGGGCACTGGAACATCCTTTCCTCTAATGGAAGCTTGCCCAGGTTGCCACCCCAGAGCACTAGCAGAGAAGCACAGGACCTTCTTTATTAGCTGAGGGCTTGTGAGTAAATGGTATCTGTCATTTTCTGTTTTGGGGCCCATCTTGGTAGCCTGCCTAGTTAAGCTGATAGCATCTCTATTTAACAGAAGTTGGTGGCCGACTGTCCAGCAAGACAGATGGGTCTGGGTTGGGAGGAGTGAGGACAGGGCTGTTGGCCTCTGGCTTTGCAGCCTCTGCTGCTGTGCACTCTGCTCCTTCATGTGGAGAGCTGGGAACAGAGGCAGCTTCACAAGATGACCATGTCTTGGTCATTGCAGTCTTTTTGATGACCCAAGTCACAGTGACCCAGAGGCCTGCACTGCTCTTTGGGGATGGATGTTTGTATTATTCCACACAGTCTTCTTGGAAATTGCTCTCTGTGTATGATGTAACTTTGTATCCAGGAAACAGGTTTATTGATTGACTTTTCTTTCTAATCATAACTAAAATATGTCCTTGATTTAAGAATCCCTAATCTCCCTGTGGAGTAAGGAACAGTATAACATTTTCAGCTCTGCCTTGCTGTCAACCACCCAGATCTTGAAAGAGCTGTTGATGTCTCATGGAAAACTTTTATTACTGGGATGTCTCCATAGAAACAGAATCTCTGTTTCATGAAGATCTGTGCCGCCTGCCGCCTTCCCCCACCTGATGTCCATCCTGCATTTCTGACGTCATGGTCAGCTGTTCTGTGCTGCTTGTTTTGTCACAGGCACAGGATTTGGCTCCAGGTGGGGGTTACGGTAATAAGAGCATGAGCTCTGGTTTTTTAAAAAAATTAATACATTTATCATAGTGAGCCCCAACAATTAAGACAAGAGAAAAACAGGCTGCGATAGCTCATTAATAATTCCACTGTGCATAAAGAACCTTGTATAGAGGGTTTTTTCTTTTATGAAGAAACACAGCTGGAAATTCTACTTTCTGCAGCTCTCTTTGCAGCAGCAATTTAAAGCTGCTATCTCTGCTGCAGACTTTGATCTTGCTAGTGCAGTCAGAGCCCTGGATGGGTTGTTAAGAAATGCTGGTGGTCTGGGGCCTCCCCGAGGGACAGCTGTCTGGATCACAGAAGCCAGTCCCACTGCCAAGAGCCCCATATTTCCCTCCTTATGGCCCAGGAGCCTGAACCTACCCTTCAGCAAGGCAGGGTGGGGCTGGCAGGCTCCTGTGTCCCAAGCCCTGCAATGTGCCAACATGAGGAATAGCAGTAGCACTGGGGTAGAGTGTAGGTGAATTTGAGTGTATCTGGTACCCAACACATCCAGAGGACATTAGATCTTGTTTTTCCCTCCTCCCTCCTTGAGCCCACCATCCTCAACCTGGGAACATGTGGATGCATGCGGATATCGAAGCTTCACAGAGCTTGTAATGAGAAGCTCAGTAAATCCACCCTACCTTTGAGCTTAAAGAGATAAATGAAAGTGGCCTTCTCTTCTGGGGTGTTGATGTTTGTGTCTGCAAGCCATCTTGTTGACTAGGCCACCTTGTGGGTCTTTCTGAGCTTGGATGATGATCTTGCAAGCTGTTTACTTTGACTTCACTGTGCAGAAGTGCTGACTGGGCCCTCTGGACAGTGTAGGACAGTGCCTGGGCCTTGAAGAACAGAGCTTGAGAGACCAAGACTGGCTGGCCATGTAGGTGCAGTTGCCTGTTCAGAGTGCCCAGGAGAGGTTTTACTATACCTACTGCTCTTCACTCTTCCCTCCCAGCAGGGACTGGTAAGAGAAGCTCCCCCATGACCTCCAGGTTTCTGAGCTTTCTAGCTATGGTTCTGGCCCCTGCCAAAACCTGAATTGCGGTTCCTGATGGTCTGTGGACGTGTATGAGAACAGAAGGGGACATTGTCTGCACAGTGTTCCTGCATGGGAGGCCTTGTCAAAGATGGACACTGCCTCAGGCAGATTGCTTTAGGAGACTTCCATTTCCAGATGTATCTAGCACTAGTTTCAAGTTGTCTTTAGTGTACACTTACAGTGTCTTACTGGTTTCTGCTTCTAACTCACAGGGAACCCATTTCCTAACATTAGGCCTGTTTTATTAATGGTCTGTCACAGCTAGTCACTGTTCCGTGGCTGTGAGGAAGCTGAGCCACCTGCGCCTTTCTGATAGCACCCTTTGCCACTCATGTGGTCCCATCCTCATTTGTATAAACCCCTGTGGCATAAGCGTGGCCATAACAACATGTGCTGTACTGTGTCTGTTTGGCTCAAACTAGAGACTGAGCCAGCATAGTGCTTGCTGCCGGAGCCCAGGTAAGAAAAGAGCATGTCCCCCGAGCTCCCGTTGTCTGGCTCCCACTGTTTATAAACTCTCTGGCAGATTGGAGCAGCAGGAGTCTTGGTCACACTATGTACTTGTGGGTTTTAAATTAACACATTTCATTTACTGCCTTGCTAGTTGCTTGCTGGGGGAGGGGGTTGGAGGTTAATGATAACTTGCTAAGCTCTTGGGCCCACAAAGCCAAGAAGGCTGCTGCCCATTCTCTTAGATATTCACGGCCTCCAGTGAAAGGCTGTGATATTCCAGGTCTGGCCAAATATAAAAGAGTCTTTTTGACTTGTTTTAGGATACTGGGACCTGAAAAGTTTTCATGTGTATGTTCCTTGCTTATTACTATTGCACTTGGAAATCTGTGGGCACACAGGCTGCTAGTCTGGATCTCAGTTTAAATTTAACAAGGGTAAGTACCATGGCTGCCTCTTGCCATGGTGCCTGGGAGCTCTCTGAGAATGTGTTATCAATATTTATTAACATTCTGCCACCACGTCTTGCACCAGTGACCTGGCTGTCAGTCTCCAGGAGCTGTGGTGTGCAGAGTGAACTCATTAATTAGATTTCCTTGCCCTGATCTGCACTACCCTTGTGTGAGAGCTCAACTCACCTGGAGGCAGATGTGTTCTTGTTGCCGTCCAGGATGCTGTCATCATGTTACAAGTTGGAATGAATCATTTTTCCTCCAAGGATTAAAAGCATCCTCACAGGATTTTACCTTCCTCTGAAGCATTTAGTGTGGATTATGTGATTTGTGTTGGAGGCTTCCGTGTCTCCATGGGTCATAGGGCATAGGTGACAGTGGGTCTCTCAGGCCTGGCCACCTTTCTGTCCCACACACCTGGGCTTTCTCTGTACAGAGAAGAAAAGACAATTCCAGATTTTCAAGTGTTTTTACAAGGAGGCTTTGGCTTGAGCCTGAGAAATGGGGTTAGTCTAAAATCAAGGCTGTTTAAAATAGCATTTATTGGTGATATCATGGGACTATAGAAAAGATAAAATTTAAATCAGCCGTATCTTATTACCCAAAGAGAATGATTGTTATATATTCATTGATTTCCTTTCAGTCTTTTTTTTGTTTTTTTGTTTTTTTTTTTTTTTTTTTTTGGAGACGAAGTCTTGCTCTGTTACCAGGCTGGAGAGCCATGGCACCATCTTAGCTCACTGCAACCTCTGACTCCCTGGTTCAAGCGATTTTCCTGCGTCAGCCTCCCAAGTAGCTGGGATTACAGGCACGCACCACCATGCCTAGCTAATTTTTATATTTTCAGTAGAGACAGGGTTTCACCGTGTTGACCAGGCTGGTCTCAATCTTTTGACCTCGTGATTCACCCGCCTCGGCCTCCCAAAGTGCTGGGATTACAGGCGTGAGCCACCATGCCTGGCCTTTTTTTTAAAAAAGACAATCTTGTTTGCCCAGGCTATAGTGCAGTGATGTGATCATAGCACACTGCAGCCTTGAACTCCTGAGCTCGAGCAATCTTCCCACTTCAGCCTCCCAAGTAGCTGGGACTATAGGCAAATGCCATCACACCCAGTCTTTCAGTCTTTTTTAATAGTAACAGGGTCTCATTCTGTTGCACAAGCTGGTCTTGACTCTTAGACTCAAGTGATCCTTCTGCCTCAGGCTTCCAAAAGGCTATGATTACAGGTGTGAGCTACCATACCCAGCCCCTAGTCTGTTTTTTTAAGGTATATACACATTTAATAAAATTAGTACATTTATACGTTTGTATATCCTGGTTTTTTCAAGCAGTTTTGTTTCATGAATGTTTTTTTAAGTGACAGATGTTCCATCTTGTTAAGGTATCATACTCACTTGGGTTGTCTCTAATGTTTTCCTATTAGAAGTAACAGTGTAGGGACCTCCTGCCTGACTCTGTCAATCCCAGCCAGCATGAGCACACCCACGTCCAGCTGTAAAGTCTCCATCTGACTGTCCCCTTCTGTCTTGCAGATTGTTTGCTACATGAGGAGAACTTCTCGGTGAGGTGCCCTAAGCACAAGGTGAGTCAGGGGCCCCAAGAGCTGAGCTGCCAGCAGGGATGGGATCAAGGGTGGCTCCTTCTGAAAGACCCAAGGACCAAGTGTTGTAGGGCCTCACCCACACCTGTCCCCATCTGTGCCTCCGGCTATCAATCCGCTCCTGGTCCTGGGAAGGTGGAGGGGCATGATGCCGAGGGGAGACCCGTGGCATGGGGCCAGCACTCTGAGTGGTTTGAGGATGCCAGAAGAAATGTATTTTGGAGCAGGGTGTGGGGGGGGGGTGTTTGTCTATTAATTAAGAGAAGTGAGGTTGTTTGGTAAGACTGGTTCTAGGCCTTGAGACCTATATAGAGGCATCTTCCCAGACTAGATGTTGAGCTGACCCCAGGGTTCTGGGGAAGCTCACGGTCTCTTCCAGGTTGTGCTTCTGCAGAAGCAGCCTGATGCACAGTGAATAGGCTGCCTCAGCTCTACTTCCCAGTTTATTTAGGAGGTGGTCTCGTGGTCACTTCCTTTAGGAAAGGGTGAGAGGTGAGGGGTGAATGACCTGTTTGTGGATACCTCATTTATGTGTGAGGAGGGTGTATGTGGAGAGGGAGCCCCAAGAAAGGATCAAAACGGAGACCACTGCCACCTGATGTTTCCTGCAGAGGCTGCACTGTGTCTCTGGCTGAGGTCACACTGACACCTGGTGGTCACTGGTCACACACAGTCTTAAATCTAGTAGGGCCCAAAGTACTAGGAGGAGGTTGTCCAGAGAGGTCTGTCCTCAAAATGCTCCTGAAGGATGCTTGCTTATGCTTTTTTAAAACAATTTTTCTGGGAGGGGCCGTCACAGGATTTTATATTCACTTTATTTTTATTTAATTTGCATGTTATTTTTAGAACTCTCCTTTTTAAGGGTCACATTTTGCCTCAGAAAACCCTGTCTGAATGTCTCCTGTTTGTCATCAAGACTGACTCTGCCTTTTCTTTCCTTTTCTGTGTGCCACTCCTGTCCTCCCTCCGCCCTCCCTGATCTCCACTCTATCCTCTCCCACCTGTCTGTCTCCTCTTGGCTTTGCCTGTGTCAGCCTCCCCTTCCGTGCCCTCTCCCCCCCTTGCAGAACAAGACCGCGAAAGGCAGCCTCAGCACAGAGCAGTCGGAGCGGGGGTGAGGGGGGCAGTGTGCTCGTGGGAATGGAAAGGACAGCAAGCACAGGTGAGTCGGGGCCTCTGGGCTCCCTGCACCCTGCCCAGCTCCCAGCCGGCCTTGTTGCCTCTACTCTCCTGCCCGCTTCGGGCTGTGTCGCCAGCATTTCATTCAATGGATGGCAACACCAGGTGGATGCAGTGTTCTTCCATTGGTTACTTAGCTCCCCCAGAATATCTGTGGAAAGTAGTGGGGGCTTCAAAACTGTCCACTGCCAACGGGGTGCAGCGTGACTGTTCTTGAAGGCAACCCTTCAGGGCACAGCTGGCCAGGGGTAGCCTTGTGAGTGGTGCTCCTGAGGACAGGATACAGCAGGCTTTTGGGTCTCTTTCTTCCGGACAGGGCATCTCTTGCCTGTTGCCCCTGCTCTTTCCCCCACCTGAGAAAGGGTTCTAGTCAGTGGTCTCTTCTTTTTAATTTACTGCATTTCTGTAAAGTTTATGGTATGTTTTACTTTGAAAACAACAGAACTCTGTTTTGTTATTTGAAATCTTTTTTCTCCAGTACTGTAAAGGATTCCTTTTTGCGAAAGTACAAAGGAAAGGAAAATTTTCAAAGATTTAGTAGACTCTAACATCTGATTTAATTTTACTCTTAAAAATCCCAAGGCTGGGCATGGTGGCTCATACCTAAAATGCCAGCATTTTGGGAGGCCAAGGCAGGAGGATCGCTTGAGCCCAGGAGTTCAAGACCAGCCTGGGCAACAGTGAGACCCTGTCTCTACATTTTTAAGAAAAAATTAGCCATGCATGGTGGTGCGCACCTTTAGTCTCATCTACTCAGGAGGCCGAGCCAGGAGAATCAGTTGATCCGTGGAGGTTGAGGCTGCAGTAAGCCATGATGGTGCCACTACATTCCAGCCTGGGCCACAGTGAGACCCTGTCTCAAAAAAAAAAAAAAAAAAAGAAAGAAATTATTGTGATTGAATTGTGCTTGTTGTGAGTTTGTGTAGGACCATGATCAGGGCCCTCTCAGCAGGCATCTGTGAAAACAGGATGGTAAGACTTGGGTCTCACAAAGCCACGGGCCTGCAGGTTCCACACTGCTCCTTCACCCTCCCTGCCTCACTGAGGCATGAAGGAAAATAGATTGTAAAGAAAAGAAAACCCAAAGTGTAACTTGTGGCACTTGCTGCTACAGGATGGGGCAGGAGGACTAATTGTCTCAGAATTCTGTGTTCATTGAGGGGTCATTTCTCTCTGGGAGGACTTCTGTGTTGACCTCAGGAGTATGACCCACACAGCTACACTAGACCTGTCCCTTCGGGCAGTGCCATGTGCCTGACCACCTTCTGGATCGTGCCTTTCCCCTTTTACCACTACTGACTTGCAGAGAAGGCCCCTCGGCTGCTGCACCATTTGAGAAGTCAGGTGGGGGCTGATAAGTACTTCTTGATAGGGCGTTGAGTGTAGTGCCTGCCTTTCTCTTTCCTCTTCCAGGGAGTAGGGCTGGCAGTGGAGGAATCAGCAAAGCAGGGAGGTAGGTGGAATCCATTCCATGTGTTCCTGGGTCACAGGAACCAGATGAGCAAATAAAGCCTCTGGGACTTTTGAGTACGTTGCCACCATCAGCAGGTAGCTACTGGTTTTTCAGAACCTGCTAGGCTGCACTGCCTACCTGCCCCACTCCTTTCTCTGGGATTAGCCCTCAGGGCAAGGCAGCAGTTGGGTAGTTTTTTGAAGAACTGTTGCTGATGGCCCTCCTACATGTCCGTACACCCTTGAGGGTGTTGCTGTGCCTTCCCATTGATGCCCCTGTGCCAGCCCCAGCCCAGATGGTTAGAGTCAAGTTCTATAGAGGACCACGGTATTTCTGGAATGTGTTCTAGAAGACCTGGTTAAGGAAACAGCTTAAGTGTGTTTTGTTTTTGTCCTAAAATTGCATCTGTGTCTGAGAAGAAAGTTTGGGCCCTGTGCCTGGGGATTTTGTTCATCACCGGTTTCTCTCGTCATTCTTGGGCCTTCCAACTTGACAGGGTCCTTGGCTTTTTTTTTTTTTTTTTTTTTTTTTTTTTTTGAGACGGAGTCTCGCTCTGTTGTCCAGGCTGGAGTACAGTAACACAATCTGAGCTCAGTGCAACCTCCGTCTCCCAGGCTCGAGCGATTCTCTTACCTCAGCCTCCTGCATAGCTGGGCTACAGGCGTGGGCCACCATGCCTGGCTAATTTTTGTATTTTTTATAGAGACAGGGCTTCACCATGTTGCCCAGGCTGGCCTTGAACTCCTGACCTCAAGTGATCTCCCCACTTCGCCTCTCAAAGTGCTGGGATTACAGTTGGGAGCCACCGTGCCCGACCAGCTCTTTTATTTTTATTTATTTATTTTTTTAAGACCGAGTCTCACTCTGTCACCAGGCTGGTGTGCAATGGCAGTATCGCCTCACTGCAACCTCCACCTCCTGGGTTCAAGCGATTCTCCTGCCTCAGCCTCCTGAGTGTCTGGGATTATAGGTGCGTGCCACCACATCCAGCTAATTTTTGTATTTGTAGTAAATATGGGGTTTCACCATGTTGGTCAGGCTGGTCTCAAACTCCTGACCTCATGATTCGCACTCCTCGGCCTCCCAAAGTGCTGGGATTACAGGCATCAGCCGCCATGCCCCGCCCCTACCAACTCTTGAACAGAACAGTGAGCTTCATCCTTCTGGGTCAAAGCACAGTAATGAAGTGGCCTCATCCATTGTAGAGGATAGTCTCAAGTCCGTTGAGGTTGAACCATTTACCTCTTGGACGGAGCGGGTAGACGCGCTGCATCCAGTCCTGTCCATCTGAAATGTTACGTGCTATCCCCACAAGGCAGATGCCTTTTCCTGGTTCCCCAATTTAGCAGACTAACATTGAGGGTGGTCACCATCCTTCATTTGTGGTAGAAGCCCTGATGACTTGGGGATAGAATCACACCTCTAACTAAAGGAGGGCTCATCTTGGGGTCCATGCTGGGGACAGACAGCCACGATTATTGCGTGCCCTGACAAGGCAGGGAACAGACGGCAGATGTGCGTGTGTTCTGCCTTCTGGTGCGCCATGTTCTGACAGAGTGGTATGGTAGGTGCTCTGTGAACAAGGTCAAGACCACTCCCTGTCTCTGTGTTTCGGTTGTTTCTGTAAACACGGGAATAGCAGTACCAACCTTGTGAGATTCCGTTAGGAAATGCCTCTTACGGGCCAGCATAGCACATTGGCTCTCTCAGCCCATTGGTCTGCCATTCCTAGCTGTGCGTTTCTCATGGGAGTTGTAGGGGTCAAGGCAGCAGATTGGACCCTGCACCTGCCTCTTACAGCAAAAAATACCCAAGGCTTGGGGTTAAAACATGCCACCCCTGCCTTCTAGCATGTGAGGTACCTGGTACTTGTCCCTCACCGGGAGTGCCAGAGAGGAAAAGTCCTTCAGCTGGCCTGTGGTTGTCCACTGTTTCCTTGTGCCAAGGTGGTGGTTTTGTTGGTTTGTGTCATTGGTTGGCAGGGCTTTTGACAGTGGGACCCCTATACCCAGCTCTTCCTCCTGTCATAAATTAAACAAGGAGGCCCTGGGTTCCCCTTACAGGCTCTGTGGTTCAGCACATGGGAAGCCATAACCTTGATTGGAGCTGACACTGCATCCTGCGTACTGTGTACCCTGCACGGAACAGCCATGGATGGAAGCTGAGCAAGGCGGGGAAGGGGGAGTGGCCCCCTTGCCCCTGGAGCTGGACATCACACAGCCCATTTGTGTATGAATGAATGTCACATTCTAGAGTCCCCCTTTTTTCACAACTGGTCCAGAAGAGGTCCTGGGCTTATACCTCCAGAGGATAGCCAGAGTCTGTCCGCTTTCCTTCCTTACTAGCCCCAGCTCAGGCCTGTGTGGCTCCTATAGTGCCTACCTCCCTGCTAATGCTCAGCCGCCAAGTGCAGTCTTCATTAGGCCTCCCTCTAGGCCTGTCTCTTCTCTACGTCCGAGATTTTTGTTACGTTCCAAATAAAGTCCAGATGTCTCACCTTGCTTCCAGAGGTCTGTGGAAGTCTCAGGTGACTCTCCAGGCACCTGGCCTTCCTACGGCTCCTCAGGAGCCAGGCTTTCTCCCTCTGGGCTTCTGCACACACAGTACCTTGTGCTGGAAACACTCTGGCTCCCCATCGTCATGTCGAAGACAGACTTCATCTCGGGTCTCAGCTTAAATGCCAGTTCCTCAGAGAAACTTTACCTTTCTAAATCGTTGTCTCCATTGCCCGTTTACTCACTTGCAGCCTTCCTAGCATCACCACTATTTCACATCATGTACTTGTTTACTACCTGTCTCTACTAGAATGTAAGCTCCATGAGGGCAGGGACCACGTCTGTCTTTGCACCATTAAAGCCTAGCCCAGAGCAGGGGATGTAACTGTGTAACTATGCTAGTGCCAAGTGAGTCTGTGTGGAAGGAGTGAGTGCATCCCAGAGAAGAAAGGACTCTTGAACCCTGACTATCAGTGTCCTAAATCAGTATAGATTCTGAATTAGGTTTCCCTTCACATCCTTCCTCTCTAGTCAGAATTAATATCTATTTTAGAAATGAGGAAACAAGGCCGGTCCTGGTGGCTCACGCCTGTAATCCCAGCACTTTGGAAGACTGAGGCAGGTGGATCAAGAGGTCGAGACCATCCTTGCCAAACCCTGTGAAACCTTGTCTCTATTAAAAATACAAAAATTAGCTGGGCGTGGTAGCACACACCTGTAGTCCCAGCTACTCGGGAGGCTGAGGCAGAAAGAACTGCTTGAACCCAGGAGGCAGAGGTTGCAGTGAGCCAAGATCACACCACTGCACTCCAGTCTGGCAACAGAGTGAGACTCTGTCTCCAAAAAAAAAAAAAGAAAGAAAGAAATGAGGAAATGGGCTCTGGGCGAATCCTGGCCAGGTTGAGTGGTGTTGAAATGATGAGTTTTTGCTGCAGTTGGTAATGGCAGGCTTGGAGTCTGATATGGAAGGATGTGAGGACGGCATCCTGGGTTCAGGCCACGGATGAGGCCAAAGGGGAGCAGAAAGGACAGTGTGAGCGAGAAGGGAAGCGAAGGAACAACAAGTGAGGGAGCCTGGGAAGGCGTTGACCCAAGACCAAACCCTGGATGCTGGCAGCTGAGCAGCAAGATGTAGCTCTTTAAAAGAGAACTGATAGTCGTCAGCATCTTCAGTACAGGAGTGGCAAGTCACTTCTGCTGCTCCCAGCCTCGCTGTCTTGCGTACGGCCGTCTCCTCTCAGCTACACCTCGTGCCCTAGAACATGCAGCCCCTAGGGTCCAGTCAGGAAAGCCACAATCCCACCTCTAACTGGCCATGTGGCTTTGGGCTACACGTGTCGCCTTCCTGAGCTTGAGCTCTCTTGAAGTTGGGGGTCAGGCAGGTCTGTGTTAATATGAAATAGTGTCTGTAAAGCTTCTGGCCCAGGGCTTGGCACATAGGGAGTGCTTATTTTCCTTCCTTCTTAATTTCCCTGCTGAAGGAACAATTCTGTTAAAGTAATTCTTGAAAAGTTAGGATCCAGTACATTCAGGATATCATGTGTTGGGGCTGATATAGTCATCAGACCTGGGGAACACTCCCCGTTGGGAAGGCTGTGGAGGGCAGAGCCCCAGACGACAGGTGCTAAAGAACTGCTGATGCCTGGGCCACCACACACCCCAGGGAGGGGCCCGCAGGTAGTAGCACACAGAGCCAAGTGGCCAGGCAGACCCTGGGTACTGATGTGTGCTTCATTCTTTGGTGGTGGGGGCTGGTGTGGGGTCCTGTTCTGAGTAATGAACAAGATTGGGGTGCAGGCCCAAGACTGCTATGTACTGGTAAGGAGGGCAAACCCTGCCTAGTCCCATCTACGAGCAGAGCCTGGCAGGGTATGTGTGGGCATTGACCTTGATTTACACGGGCATCCTGCAACCCCAGTGAGATGATGCCCTTCCATGTTCTGGAGGTAGCTGCCCATTCGCTCAGCTGCTGGCCTGCCTTCCCAGGGCCTGCCTTTACCTCTGTGTGGTGATGTGCCATGGTCTTTGTGGAGTGTATTCCTGCTCATTGATGTTTTCTGCCAAGTAGTCAGGAACCTCCTTGGGCAAGGGCACGTGTGTGTATGTGTTGGGAACTGTTCAGTCTTAGCTTCCCCAGGCTCCAGCCTTCTTAACAGTTCTGGATGTGTGAACTTTATGGAAGCAGAAAGGGCTGGTGACACCTGGGTTCCTGGGGTTTATTTGTCAGTGGAGGGCACCAAATTGGGCTTGAGGAAGCAGGTGAGCCCCAGTGAGAGTCTTAAGAGCACAGTGATTGGCAGAAAACGAGTGAAGGAGCGAGGCTGCCACCACTTCTGGCCTCTGGTGAAATTTTTCTTGATGGATTCCTTAGAAACTACTGTTTCTCTTGAGACCTTTTCACATGGGATGGCCATGAAGCATTCTACAGAGACCTTTGGTACAACCATCTGTCATTTGTGGGCTATCAGAATCCCCTTCTGCACCTGGGCTGAAAGAGGAGCAAAGCCCCCCAGCCTGGGGTTGAGGGACCCAGGGGCCTCAGGCCTGAGAGATCAAGAGGATTAACATAGTCCAGCTCTGTCTGAGCCTCAGAAAACAGCGAGACCTGCCCTCCCTGTTAGAGGCCATTGTTTATAAGCATCAAGAACTGACTGTGGACCGGGCGCGCAGTGGCTTACACCTGTAATCCCAGCACTTTGGGAGGCTGAGGTGGGCAGATCACCTGAGGCCAGGAAATCAAGATCGGCGTGGCCAACACGATGAAACCACATCTCTACTAAAAACATAAAAATTAGCTGGATGTGGTGTCATGCACCTGTGATCCCAGATACTCGGTTGGCTGAGGCAGAAGAATCACTTGAACCTGGGAGGTAGAGGCTGCAGTGAGCCGAGATCACACCACTGCACTCCAGTCTGGGCAACAGAGCAAGACTCTGTCTCAAAACAAAACAAACAAAAATAACTGACTCTGTCATTAGCCGAGCATGGTGGCATGTACCTGTATTCCCAGCGCCTTGGAAGGCTAAGGTGGGAGGATTGCTGGAGCCTGGGAGTTGAAGGCTGCAGGGAGCTAAGGCAACAGAGTGAGACTTTGTTTCAGAAACAACTAGCTGTGTCGACTAGAGGCAACTGCAAAACTGTCCTAAGAGGCTGGACTTTGAGAAGATTCTTCCACAGATCGACCAGATACTCTAGGTTTCAGTCACAGCTGGGTGCCTAAGGCCACTTCTGTGAGAACCCGGACTTGCCAGCCAGTGCTGGGGTCCTGACGCTGGTGAGGCCCCACCAGGTCCCCTGAGGTCAGGGAGTTCTCTGCTGTCCTGGCTCCTTTATGCACTAGGCAGACATGTGCTGAGGAGCCCTCACAGTCCAGCCCCAGCACCCCCACTAGGTCATTGCTGCCTTTAATCACATTCCAGATCCAGAGCTATACAGCGGCTCCAGCATTGGTTTCAGGTGTGTCCTACAGCAGCAGCACATCTACAGAGGGGTCTGAGTGCAGGATCCCTGCTGAAAGCCCCATCCCAGGGGTATCACAGAACAGAGGCTGTTGATGGTGGACCCTGTGGAGGCTCCTGGCCCTCAGTGTCTGTCCCTTGTCTTCCAGGTGAGACTGTGGAGATGAGAAGGTGGTGGACACTCGTGATGGAATGGAAATTGTCCTACCGTGCAGCCACACCCTGCCCCACCCCGCCCCGCGTGCCTGCCCATGCCAGCACTTCCTAAGTTCTCACATCACACTCAAACCGGTGACACCACAGGAAAGAAAGACCCAAGATGTTGGAATGGCTGTTTCCATGGACACAATCTCCATAGTGACAATGTGGGGGGAGGGGGGAGGGGTGGGATGATGGGGAAATGGTGGGGGGAATTAAAAGGGAGGGATAAAAAATATATATATATAAATCTATTTTTAGTCTGGAAAGACTTTGTTTAAATGAAAGGTGCGCTATCCCTTTTGATTCTATTTTAAAATTAACTAGTTAAAGATCTCCAAATTTGTTCCAATGACAGTGAAATTTAAATGTGAAATTGAACTGAACAAACCCTCATCTCATAAAGGACGGGGTGTGTGTGGCTTTGATCTTTACCTGTCTCACACCAGTTTAGAGAACACTAGACCCAGGATTGGAAAAGCAGACAAACCACACCAAAACCATCCTTTTTGTCATTAATTTGTCTCAAAGTGGGAAGGTTTTAGGGGGAGGGGGAAATACATGTTTTCAAGAGAGGGGGAATGATGTTTAAAGACAAAAATAAATTTTTTTTCATTTCCAGAAACACTATTTATTTATTTTTTATTCTTTATTTTTTTTCTTTTTGGGGGTGAAATTGGTAGATGCCCGAGGTCATAGCTGTGTCCTGGGTCACTGTGGCTGGTGAGGACTCCCATCAAGTGTACACAGCAGCAGCAAAGTCAAAGGATAACCCTCCTCTGGGGCCCCCTGTCCTCAGTGCATTCCAGGCAGCTGTGCCCTGACCCACAGGAACGCTTGGGGATAGGAGGAGGCCCAGGCCTGTGCCGCCGGAGCTGGCAATGTGAGCTGTAGGCAGGGATGAGGAGGGACTGTCGTTGTGATCAGTGTGGGTTAAGCTGTCCAGGAACACCCATTTAACCCTTTTTGCTTTCACTTTTGTAAAGGAAAAGAGGACCTGTCAGATAGGCAGCCCCATGCTACGTGATTCTTTATGTTGTGTTGTGTTGTTTTGTTTTGTTTTGTAAATTGTATAATTTTTAAATATCTGAGTTTTAAAAAAAGAAAAAAGTACAAAAAAATCTTGTTATGGCCTTAAGAAGGGGTTAGTGCATCTTTCAGGGGTCACTCTGCCATGGGGATAAAATAGCTGTTTCACAAACAGTTTTATTTAAAAAAACAAAAAACAAAAAAAATCAAAAAATCAAAAAAATAATAAACTTCATTTTAACCTTGTTTCCTTCTTTTGTTTAATTTAAAGTGAATGCGTCTCTTCCTTCTCCCATTCTAGCCCCCATAGGGTAGCTCTGGTTCTCCAGAGGCGGCCATCATCAGACCTGGTCTGTCCCATTCCCAGCCTCTGGACCGTGAGGTGGCCCTTGCAGCAGAGCCAGGAAACAAAACAAAATTCTGGGCTCCTCTGCCACTCATCTGGGCAGGTGGAGTTCGGACAGTGTATGGACACAGTCAATTTACTTAGGTTGATGTGAGGACGTATTTCCAATCAACATTAAGGGTTATAAAAAAATAATGCAATGTTAATGGACTTTTTTAGATAATAGAAATGCTAGAAGGAATGTTGTGAAGTAGAAATAAGCGATTATAAATGAGTTCTGTGTTCATCAATTTTGGGGCAGCAGAAATGGCAGATAATTTCATTTTAATGGCTGCATCAAGCAGTCCATTTCTCATTTCACGCCGCCAGGATGGAGGTGTGAGTGGGCACACTGTGTCGGCCGTGGGACTACGCTTGGGCAGCTGAGCAGGACCTGAATAGAAATGATGACTTTTTTCAGCTAGTTGCTTTCTCATTCTGGTCTTGACTTGGCATTAACACAGTTTAAATGAAATTGATAGATTTCAGGTGTCAAGGGCTAAACCACAAACGTGAAAAATAGTATATCTTGAGGAAAATATTTTCCTGACAGCAAATGTTTCTTCATCACTTTGCCTTTTATTCTTTTGTCCCCTTTTGAATTGCCGATTTTAGTGGAGCACTGGTGATTGTTCTGTGTCTAATCGGCTTCAGAAATGACCTATGCCTGGGGAGTGGCAAGGCTATGCACATGCCTCCCATCTCCAGCTTCTGGCTTCTACATTGAGTCTCAACTGCTCAAATGCCCTTTAGTTCCTTCAGTGTTTGTCTTAATCAGTTTTTTTTAAGCAGCTTTATAATCACAGCAGGATTAAGCTGAAGGTACAGAAAGTTCCCATATAACCCCTTCCCCGACACATGCATAGCTTCCCCCTCTGTCCACATCCCAACCAGAGTGGCATGTTTGTTAGAACTGATAAATTGTTATCACCCAAAGTCCATCGTTTATACTAGGAGCCACTCCTGGTGGTGGACATTTTATGGCTTTTGACAAACGTATAAAGACCTGGATCTGGCAGGGCGTTGTGGCTCATGCCTATAATCCCAGCATTTGAGGAGGCTGAGGTGGGGGAATCACTTGAGTTCGAGAACAGCTTGGGCAACAAGGCAAAACCCCAGCTCTATGTAAAAATAGAAAAATTAACCAGGCGTGGTAGTATGCACCTGTAGTCTCAGCTACTTGGGAGGCTGAGATGGGAGGATCGCTTGAGCCTAGGTGGTCAAGGCTACAGTGAGCTGTGATCATGCCACCATGCTCCAGTCTGGACGACAGCAAAATCCTGTCTCAAAAAAGACGTGGACCGGTCATGATCCAGAGTAGTTTCACTGCCCCAGAGATCTTCTGTGTTCCACTGTGCTGCTCCTCCCCTCGAGTCCCTCACAACTACTGAGGCTTTTACTGTATCCAAAGTTTTGCCTTTTCCAAAATGTCATAAAGTTGAGATTATGTAGTAGGTAGCCTTTTTAGATTGGCTTCTTTCACGTAATGTACATTTAAGGTTCAACAATGTCTTTTCATGACTTGATAGCTTGTTTCTTTCTAGTGATAAATCCACTGTCTGGATGTTCCACAGTTAATCCATTCACCTGCTGAAGAACATCTTGATTGCTTTCAAGTTTTGGCAGTTATGGATAAAGCTGCTGTAAACATCCCTGTGCAGGTTTTTGTGTGGAATGAGGTCTCAACAACTTTGGGTAAGTACAGGGAGCACAACTGGTGAATTGTATGGTAAAAGTATATCTAGTTTTGTAAGAAACTGCCAAATTGTCTGGATTACTGAAGTCAAGATTTTGAGACCAGCCTGGCCAACATGGTGAAATCCTGTCCCTACCGAAACTACAAAAATGAGCCGGGCATGGTGGCTCACACCTGCAGTCCCAGCTACTCGGGAGGCTGAGGTGAGTGACAGAGTGAGACTCTGTCCCAAAAAAAAAAAATTGCCAAACTGTTTTCCAGAGTGTCTGTACCATTTTGTATTCCCACCAGCAATGAACTAGAGTTCCTGATGCTCCACATCCTTGCCAGCGTTTGGTGCTGTCCGTGTTCCGGTTTTGAGCTATTCTAATGAGTGTGTAAGTGGCTTTTTTTTTTTTTTTTTTTTTTTTAATAACTTCTAACGTTTTTACATTGTTGTTTAAAAAACAAAATTTACCATCATAACAGTTATGGTACAGTTCAGTGGTGTTAAGTGTGTTCACATTGTTATGCAGCTGATCTCCAGAAACTTTTCATTTTATAAAACTGAAACACTTTTTTTTTGAGACAGTATTTCATTTTTGTTGCCCAAACTGGAGTGCAATGGCACCACCTCCGCTCACTGCAAACTCCACCTCCCAGGTTCAAGCAATTCTTCTGCCTCAGCCTCCCGAGTAGCTGGGATTACAGGCATGCACCATGCCCAGCTACTTCTGTATTTTTAGTAGAGGTAGGGTTTCTCCATGTTGGTCAGGCTGGTCTTGAACTCCCTACCTCAGGTGATCGGCCCGCCTTGGCCTCCCAAAGTGCTGAGGTTACAGGAGTGAGCCACTGCACCCGACCCCTCCATTTCTAGTTCGTAGAGTATAGGCAGCGCTCAATACCACAGGCTCCACGTCCACAAATTCAACCACACATAGAAGATATTTGGAAAAAAAAAGAAAAGCATAACTAAAAATACAAATAAGAGCAGTATGGTATAGCAACTATTTACACAGCATTTACATTGTATTAGGTATTATAAATCTAGAGATGGTTTAAAGTAAACGGGAGCATATGCATAGGTATACTCTGCCATTTTACATAAGGAACCTGAGTGTCCTTGGATTTTGGTATTTACCTGGCACCAGTCCCCTCCAGGATACCCAGAGACAACTATTCCACTGCATACAGTCTCACCCACTTGTACCTGTGGAAATGCAGGTGCCCTGTTGCTCTGAGGACAGGCTCTGCCACTCAGCACTCTTGAGTCAGACCCAATAGAAACCTGTCCTATGGGAAGAGCTGGGAATTGGAGGGTCCCTCCCAATGGCATTGCCATGCCTGGCAGGAGGAAGGGCAAGAACAGGCAAAATGCTCCAACTTTACTTCCCTTCCCAGTGTAGGCCCTTCCTGGCTCTGTGCCAGCTGGCATTGCAACTTCCTAACTAGTTTTTAGAATTCTTATAATGATGTTTTGGTTCCTTTAGCATTGTCAACTGGGGACTCTAGGAGAACAAGAGCCCAGAGCTTCCTAGTCCACCACTTGCTGACATATTTTCACACCATGTCACTTGGCAATGTTCAGAGGGCCTGCCAGGGCACAGTGCATTTTTCACCATGACACAAGCAGTCCCAGTATTCAGGGACGGCAGTTTGGTTGTGTTTCCTAAAGATAAAAAATCCCAGAAACTTCTATACTAACCATTAATAGAATGTGATGTCCAAACAGTATAGGGCAGTAGTAGCTCAGCACACACTTTGGATGTGGACTCTGACACCACTCTGTGACTTGCACCTCGTTATGTGGTCTCTGAGCCTCAATCTCTGTGCCTTGAGGACCATAAAACCACCTCCTTAGGGGGCTGTGGGAGGATTAATGAGTTGGAGCACACAGTCTGACCAGCAGTTTCTGGCACATAAGTGCCTGATCAATGGAAGCCACAGATGCACAATGATTGGAATAGGCCATAGGCATCATTATTGAAGGTTTTCCTCATGCTGCCATATCTTGAATTACAGGCCTCTGGCAGGTAGGAGGCCATTCGGGAGGGCACTGCTCACATGGCAGGCATGCCTGTCCCTGCTGGTCACACCCACATCATGATGACTGCTTCGGGAGAGCCTGACACCTCAAAAGGCCAAGAGTGCGTACAGGTAATGTATAAAGGGGCCACCATGTGACAAGCACCCAGACCATCCTGCCAGCCCTGCGCCTTGATTCTCTCTCAGTCCCAGGTAGAAAGGTGCTGCCACATAGGACAGGAACACTTATTCAGCTGAGCCAGTTTGGGAGGCCACAATTCAGATCTGAGAAGTCCCCAGATGGACATGGGTCTTGCTCTCCTGGTCATTTGAATGGCCTTAAAACTGTTGGGCCAGATGGCTCATGCCTCTAATCCCAACACTTGGGGAGGCCAAGGTAAAAGAATCACTTGAAGCCAGTTCAAGACCAGCGTGGGCAACATTGTGAGAACTCATCTCTACAAAAAAAACAAAAAAATTTAGTCAGGCATAACGGTGTACACCTGCAGTCCCAGCTACTCAGGAGGCTAAAACAGGAGGATCTCTTGATTGAGCACAGGAGTTTGGGCTGTAGGGAGCTATGATCATACCTCTGCACTCCAGCCTAGGCAACAGAGCAAGACCCTGTCTCTAACAAAAACCAAAATCATAATTTCTTTTTTTTTAATTTTAAATAAACTGTTTACCTTTTGTTCCCAGATCCAGTCTTCATTCAGACCTGCAAAGACCCAGGCTCCAGCTGCCAGCTTCCTGTGGCCCCTCAGGCCACCTGCACAGGAAATTCCAAGGGTGTGTTAGTCCCACTGCCAGTGCCATGACCTACAGTGCTAGGCAGCCCCTCAGTCTCTGCCACTCAAAGTTCTTCAGGAATCCTTCCTAGAAAGTCCTGTTCCAGCCTGGGGCAATGTCCCCATGGCCCTCATGTCACTGCTGGCTTGGCATGTCAGCAATGTTACCTTCCTACTTCTGATGGTCATGAGTACGTTGGGGCACTGGCCCACTGGCTGCCTTCCCACCATGTTCCCAGTACACGGCTCAGGACCCAGTACAACCCATACCTCCAGCTTGGTTGGAGCTCTCATGCCAGGCTGCCTGTCACTCACTGCCCTGGCCTGACCCTGCACCCACTGGCAGCACAGTCAACAGAGCAGGTTGGCTCACAGCAGAGGGCAAAGGCCATCATCAGCTCCCTTTATAAGGGAACAGTCACACACTCAGTGTGCTGAGAGTGTCCTGCCTGGTCCTCTGTGCCTGGTGGGGTGGGGGTGCCAAGTGTGTCCAGAGGAGCTCAGTGGGCAGCGAGGCAGCCATGGGACTGGATGCACTGGTGCCCTTGGCCGTGACAGTAGCCATCTTCCTGCTCCTGGTGGACCTGATGCACCGGCGCCAACGCTGGGCTGCACGCTACCCGCCTGGCCCCATGCCACTGCCCGGGCTGGGCAACCTGCTGCATGTGGACTTCCAGAATACACCAAACTGCTGCAACCAGGTGAGGGAGGAGGTCCTGGAGGGCTGCAGAGGTCCTGAGCACCACCCACCAGCATGGGTGGTGAGTGAAGCAACAGGCTACATCAAGCCAGGCTGCAAAGGAGAAGCAGGTTTGGGCGACTAGAGGAGGGCATTTGTACACGGCCTGAAGGATTAGATTTTCCAAATGTCAAGGAAGAGTAGGGCAAGGGCCTGGAGGTGGGGCTGGACTTTGCAGTGGGTGTTCAAGCTCACTGGGCAGCATAGACTCTGGAGCACAAAGTCCCCTTTGCTGACACCACAAGGAAAGGCCTTGGGAATGGGAGAGGAATCAGGGTCCTGAGTACTGTTTAAATTAGAAAATAAGGCCGGGCACGGTGGCTCAGGCCTGTGATCCCAGCACTTAGGGAGGCAGAGGTGGGTGGATCATCTCAGGTCAGGAGTTCAAGACGAGTCTGGCCGACATGGTGAAACCCCATCTCTACTAAACATAACAAAAAATTAGCTGGGCTCAGTGGTGTACCTGTAATCTCAGCTACTCGGGAGGCTGCAGCAAGAGAATTACTTAAACCTGGGAACTTGTAATGAGCAAAGATTCTGCCATTGCACTCCGGCCTGGGTGACAGAGCCAGACAACATCTAAATAAATGAATAAGTAAGAAATCAATGGTGAGGCGCAATGGCTCACAGCTGTAATCACATCACTTTGGGAGGCCAAGGCGGGTGGATCACAAGGTCAGGAGTTGGAGACCACCCTGGCCAACATGGTGAAACCCTGTCTCTACTAAAAATACAAAAATCAGCTGGGTGCAGTGACGGGCACCTGTGATCCCAGCTACTCAGGAGGCTGAGGCAGGAGGATTGCTTGAACCCACGAGGCAGAGGTTGCAGTGAACGGAGATGGCGCCATGCACTCCAGCCTGGGTGACAGAGCAAGACTCCATCTGGGGGGAAGAAAAGAAAATCGAGGATGAAGGGGTATAGTGACACCGTTTAAACCTTTTGCAAGAGAAACCTTACGGGTTCTCTTGCCTCACTGCTCACCAGCATAGACCATCATCTGTAAAATGGAGTGCTACCTGTGGCCTGTCGGCAATTTCAGTGATTCTTGCAAGGTCATACCTGAGTGAGGCATCCATAGTGAGTTCCTCCATCATAGAAGATGTGACCTCTGTCCCTGCCCCAGGATCAGGAGGCCGGGTCTCCTTGCACCTGCTCACTCCTGGAAGCCTCAGGGGTCACCCAAGGCTCATTTGGAACTAGGACCTGCAGGCTGGGGGAACCTGGCTTGACGGAGGCGGTAACCCTCCCTCTACAGCTGCGGCGCCGCTTCGGGGACGTGTTCAGCCTGCAGCTGTTCTGGACTCCAGTGGTCGTGCTCAACGGGCTGGAGGCTGTGCGCGAGGCGCTGGTGACCCACGGCGAGGACACCGCCGACCGACCGCCTACACCCATCAACCAGGTCCTGGGCTTCGGGCCGCGCTCCCAAGGCAAGCAGCGGTGGGGACGGAGACTGTTTCCGCGGGATCCGGGTGGGTGGTGACTGGAGCCCGAGCTGGGCCGAGAGGGCGCGCGCTCGTGGACGTGGGACACTGAGAAAGGCCAGCGAGTGGCCGGGGACAGCGGGCCACGACACCACCTGCTCTGGGGAGGTGCGAGCGTGTGGTCGGGGACGGACCTTGTGGCGAGTAGGAGGGGCCATGGCTAGACCCAACAGGAGCCAGGTGGGCGAGGCCCGCACCTTTCCCAGCCGGAGGCAGGTATCCGGGACCGCGCCTGTGCTGCCAGCTCAGTGTGGCCCGGGAGAGCCAGCGGGATCTTCCCTGAGTGGAAAGGCAGTCAGGGTGGGCAGAGCCGAGGTGGGGACAAGACTCGAGCAAGGTGGGTGAGCAAAGAGTGGACCCTGTGCCCAGCTGGACGGGGCGAGGGACTGCGGGAGACCAAGGGGAGCGCAGGGTTGGAGTGGGCGGCAGAGAGCGGGGCCAAGGCCTTCATGGCCACGCCCACGCGTTCATCCGGTCCCCAGGGGTGTTCATGGCTCGTTATGGTCTCGCCTGGCGCGAGCAGAGGCGCTTCTGCGTGTCCACCTTGCGCAATTTGAGGCTGGGCAAGAAGTTGCTGGAGCAGTGGGTGACCAAGGAAGCTGCCTGCCTCTGTGCCGCCTTCGACAACTATGACGGTGGGTGATGGGCAGAGGGGCACAAGGCGGGAACTGGGAACATGGGGGACAGGAAAGGCGACCCCTGACCCGCATCTTCTGGCCCCAGGACGCCCCTTCCGCCCCAACGAACTCCTGAACAAAGCGGCGAGCAACGTAATCGCCTCCCTCACCTGTGGGCACCGCTTCGAGTATGACGACCCTCGCCTCCTCAGGCTGCTGGACCTAGCGCAGGAGGGATTGAAGGAGGGGTCGGGCTTCCTGCCCCAGGTGCAGAGCCAGGGACTGCGGGACTCCGCAGGGCAAGCTCCTCAGAGGTGCCGGTTTGCTGCAGCCGAGCCTCTGAGGAGCAGGATTTGCGTAGAGGGTTTTGGGATAGGATATTCAAGGAGAGCCCACTGCAAGAGGAAGGGCCGCTGGAGGAGGAGGGGAAACCTCAGACACGGTCGTGGGAGAGGTGTGCCCAGGTCAGGGGGCACCAAGAGAGGCCATGAACCCTGTGCCTCCTGTTTACATTGGAGAATTCGATTTTAGGTTTCTCCTTTGCCAGCCCAAGGTAAGGAGAGAACATGGAGGCTGGCACTTGGGGAGGGACTTGGGAGGTCAGTGGTGGGGACAGGCAGGCCCTGGGTCTTCCCTGGAGAGGGCTGGGGCCTGAGACTGGTCCAGGTGAAGGCAGAGTGTAGGAGGAATCCAGATCCCGTTCTGTGTCTGGTGCAGGTGCTGAATGCCATCCCTGTCCTCCTGCGCATCCCGTGGCTGGCTGGCAAGGTCTTACGCTCCCAAAAGGCTTTCCTGGCCCAGCTGGATGAGCTGCTGAGCGAGCACAGGATGACCTGGGACCCAGCCCAGCCACCCCGAGACCTGACTGATGCCTTCCTGGCAGAGATGGAGAAGGTGGGAGCAGCTGCCAGGGTGAGGAGCAGGGGCGGTGGGTTGAGGGTCCCAGGAGGAATGAGGAGTAGCCAGGCAAAAGCTGGGGCTAGTGCATCACCCAGTGAGCAGCACCTGGGCTGACAGGCGAAAAATAGGAGGTCATTTGGGGACTTTCCCTCTCCGTCCCCTGAGTACCTCTTGGCCCTGCTCAGGCCAAGGAGAACCCCGAGAGCAGCTTCAATGATGTGAACCTGCGTATGGTGGTGGCTGACCTGTTCTTGGCTGGGATGGTGACCACCTCAATCACGCTGGCCTGGGGCCTCCTGCTCATGATCCTTCACCCAGATGTGCAGCGTGAGCCCAGCTGGGACCCAGTGCAGGGAGCGAGGGAGGAAGGGTACGGGTGGGTACCCTGAGCTTAGCTGGGACACCAGGGGCTCCAGGCACAGGCTTGGCCAGGCTCCTATAAGCCTGACCTCCTCTAATACAGGAGGCAGGAAGGAAGAAGACGTCAGGGCCAGTCTCCTGGGTGCTGACCCATTGTGGGGACACATGTCTGTCCAGGCCGTGTCCAACAGGAGATCGACGACGTGATAGGGCAGGTGCGGCCACCAGAGATGGGTGACCAGACTTGCATGCCCTACACCACTGCTGTGATTCACGAGGTGCAGCGCTTTGGGGACATCATCCCCATGAATATGCCTCACATGACATCCCGCGACATTGAAGTGCAGGGCTTCCTTATCCCTAAGGTAGGCCTGGGGCCCTCCTCACCCAGCTCAGCACCAGCCCCTGGTTGGTGCCCCAGTGTGGCCACTGCCAGGTGGGCCCAGTCTGGGAACCCTGGCCTGCCAGTCCTCAATGCCACCACACTGACTGTCCAACCTGTGTATGGGGTGCAGAGCAGAGTCAGGGCTGGCCTGTCTATCCAGAGCCCAGTCTAGTGGTGAAGACAGACCAGGACCTGCCAGAATGTCGGGGGACCCAATGCTCCTAGGGAGAGGGGGCAGCATGGGCACCCCTGGGAGGTATGACTGGGGCATATTATGGGGTTGGGGAGGCTTCCCAGGAGCTTCTCGGGTGCAGGACTAGTAGAGTCCAGCTGTGTGCCAGGCAGTGTGTGTCCTCCATGTGTTTGGTGGCAGGGGTCCCAGCATCCTAGAGCCCAGTCCTTACTTTCACCCTGCCTCTCCTACCCAGGGGACAGCGATCTTCGCCAACTTGTCATCAGTGCTGAAGGATGAGGCCATCTGGGAGAAGCCTTTCTGCTTCTACCCCGAACACTTCCTGGATGCCCAGGGCCGCTTTGTGAAGCCAGAGGCCTTCCTGCCTTTCTCAGCAGGTGCCTGTGGGGTGCCCGGCTCCCTGTCCCTTCCGTGGAGTCTTGCAGGGGTATCGCCCGGGACCCATGCTCACTGAGGACCCTCCCCTACCCATAGGCCGCCGCGCATGCCTCGGGGAGCCCCTGGCCCGCATGGAGCTCTTCCTCTTCTTCACCCACCTGCTGCAGCGCTTCAGCTTCTCCGTGCCCACTGGACAGCCCCGGCCCAGTAACTCGCCTGCCGGTGGCTTTCTGGTGTATCCTTCCCCCTACCAGCTTTGTGCTGTGCCCCGCTAGTGTTGGGCATCAAGCCCATGACCTGCTCCTCTTGTACAATAAATTAGTCTAGAGGCTCCCACTTGGTTTCTGAATCCAGTTTGGGCTCTTGCCAAGGCCCTGGTTGTGTTGGGTCATCTGTCACCTGCCTGATGTCAGTGCTTACCCCCACCTCATTCTTTTTTTTGATACGCAGTCTGTCTCTGTCATCCAGGTTGGCGTGTGGTGGTGCCATCTCAGCTAACTGCAACCTCCACCTCCTGGGTTCAAGCAATTCTCGTGCCTCAGCTTCCCGAGTAGCTGGGATTACAGGCATTCACCACCGTACCTGGTTAATGTTTGTCCTTTTAGTAGACATAGGTTTCACCATGTTGGCCAGCCTGGTTTCAAACTCCTGACCTTCGGCGATCCACCAGCCCCAGCCTCTCAAGATTCTGGGATTACAGGCATGAGCCACCACGCCCAGCCTCACTTCATTGATTCTTACCTGGACATCTGACTTTACTTGAGATACAGGCATAGTGATTCTCAGCAGGTGACAGCTTACCTCCACATCACCTCCAGAAACCCATCACTGGCTGCCTGACTTGGTGACAAGGTCTACGCATATGTCTTGGCTGGGTTAGATATGAATAGGCATGTGCCAGGAATCAGCCCAGTCCCTGGCTAGGGTGGGAGACTGTGTTCGGGAACCCCAGACCACTCTCAGGTCCAGTGATTTGCTCGGTCTCACAGACCTAAAAAAGTTGTTATCCTCCCTTTTATGGTTTATTACAGAGAAGGTACAGATTAAAGTCAGTGAAGATGAAAGGCACAGGGGGCAGAATCCAGAATGACCAGGCAGAGGCTGCAGCTCTCATTCCTGGTGGAATCCTACAGGCAGCGCTTAATTCTCCCTCAACAGTAAGTGACACTGCAGAGAGTGCTGCCAGCCACAGAAGCTCACTTGAGCCTTGGTGTCCAGAGTTCTTGTTGGGAGTTGGTCATCCTAAGCTTGAGCCCCCCACATGGCTGACCTCGGTTACTCAGTCTCGAGCCCCTCAAGTCAGGTGGATACAAGCCTGAGGGTCCAACCCTCAGTCACGCTGTTGGCATGAACTGTGTTGTATGGTCAAAGGCGCCAGCTATGTACAAAGACTATTTCAGACAGGACATTCCAAGGCCTTAGCATGTCTCCCAGCAGCCTGTCAAGAGTCAGTGATTTGGTTTGGATTGTGCAAGAAATGACTTCCCCATTTTTACTACACAGGTCACCCTCTTGGCTCTGACACCATAATGATTACATTAGTTTGAGCGTGTGTGTGTGTGTGTGTGTGTGTGTGTGTTTTCTTTTTGTTTGAGACAGGGTCTCCCTTTGTTGCCCAGGCTGGAGTGCAATGGTGCAATTGCAGCTCACTGCAACCTTTGCCTCCTGGGTTCAAGCAATTCTTCTGGCTCAGCCTTCCAAGTAACTGGGACTACAGGCACATGCCACCACACCTGGCTAAGTTTTGTATTTTTAGTAGAGATGGAGTTTTACCATGCTGGCCAGGCTGATCTCGTGATCCACCTGCATCAGCCTTCCAAAGTGATGGAATTATAGGTGTGAGCCACCATGCATCCAGCCTTTTCTTCTTCTTTCTTCTTTCTTCCTCCTTCTTCCTCCTCCTCCTTTTCCTCCTCTTCCTCCTCATCTTCTTCTTTCTTCTTCTTACGCTTCTTCTTCCCTCGTGATCCACCTGCATCCACACCTCCTCCTCATCTTTTCTTCTTCTTTCTTTTCTTTTTCATCTTCTTTCTTCTTTTTTCTTCTTTTCTTCCTTCTCTTCATCTTCTTTCTTCCTCTTCTTCCTTCCTCTTCCTCCTCCTCTTCCTCTTCCTCTTCTTCCTCTTCCTCCTCGTCTCTTCCTCCTCCTCTTTTTCTTCTTCCTCTTCCTCCTCTTCGTCTCTTCCTCCTCCTCTTTTTCTTCTTCTTCCTCTTCCTCTTCTTTTCTTCCTCTTCCTTTTCTTCTTTTGGTAGGATCTTGCTCTGTCACCCAGGCTGGAGTGCAGTGATGCCATCAGAGCTCACTGCAGCTTTGACTTCCTGGGCTCAAGCAATCCTCCCATCTCAGCCTCCCTAGAAGCTGGAACTGCAGGCACATGCCACCATGCTCTGTTAGTTTTTATGTTTTTGGTAGAGATGGGATTTCACCATGCTGCCCAGGCTGGTCTCAAACTCCTGGACTCAAGCAGTCTCTCTGACTTGGCCTCCCAAAGTACTGGGATTCCAGGTGTTAGCCATTGAGCCTGGCCACTTTTCTAGTTCTTTAAGATGCATTGTTAGGTTATTTACTTAGTTTTTCTTTTTTGATGTAGGGACTTAGAGATATAAATTTCTTGCTTAATACTGTTTTCACAGTATCCCACAGGTTTTGCTATATTCTATTTCTATGATTATTTGTTTCAGGAATTTTTTTAATTTCCTTTTTTTTTTTTTTTTTTTTTTTTTTTTTTTTGAGACAGAGTTTTGCTCTGCCCAGACTGGAGTGCAGTGGTGCCATCTTGGCTGACTGCAACATCTGCCTCCTGGGTTCAAGTGATTCTCTTGCCTCAGCCTCCCAAGGAGCTGGGATAACAGGCGCCAGCCACCATGCCCTGCTAATCTTTGTATTTTTAGTAGAAATGGGGTTTCACTATATTGACCAGGCTGGTCTCAAACTTCTGACCTCAGGTGATCTGCCTGCCTCAGCCTCCCAGAATGCTGGGATTACAGGCATGAGCTATGGTGCCCAGTCAAATTTCCTCTTTAATGTCTTCACTGAACCACTGGTCATTCAGGAACATACTGTGATTTTCTTGTGTTTGTATGGTTTCTAGAATTCCTCTTGTTGTGGATTTCTACTTTTACTCTGTTGTTGTCAGAGAAGATATTTGATACTATTTCAGCTTTTCTAATGTTTTAAGACTTGCTTAGGCCGGGCGCGGTGGCTCAAACCTGTAATCCCAGCACTTTGGGAGGCCGAGGCGGGTGGATCACAAGGTCGAGAGATCGAGACCAACCTGGACAACATGGTGAAACCCCGTCTCTACTAAAAATACAAAAAATTAGCTGGGCATGGTGGCACGTGCCTGTAATCCCAGCTACTCAGGAGGCTGAGGCAGGAGAATTGCCTGAACCCAGGAGGCGGAGGTTTCGGTGAGCCGAGATCGCGCCATTGCACTCCAGCCTGGGTAACAAGAGCGAAACTCCGTCTCAAAAAAAAAAAGACTTGCTTAGTGACCTAACATAAGGTCTGTCCTTGAGAATGATCCATGTGCTGAGGAAAAGAGTGTGTATTCTGCAGACTTTGCACGAAGTGTTCTGTAAATACCTAGTAGGTCCATTTGTTCTATAGTGCAGATTAAGTCTAATGTTTTCTTGTTGTGTTTCCATCTGGGAGATCCGTCCAGTGCTGGAAGTGGGCTGTTGAAGTCTCTAGCTGTTATCGCATTAAGGTCTGACTCTCTAGCTCTATTAACATTTGCTTTATGTGCTCCAGTGTGTGTGCGTATGGATTTACAGTTGTCATATTCTGTTACTGGGTGGCCTTCTTTGTCTTCTCTTACACTTTTTGTCTTAAAATCTATTTTGTCAGCCGGGCACGGTGGCTCAAGCCTGTAATCCCAGCACTTTGGGAGGCCGAGGCGGGTGGATCACGAGGTCGAGAGATTGAGACCATCCTGGTCAACATGGTGAAACCCCGTCTCTACTAAAAATACAAAAAAATTAGCTGGGCATGGTGGCGTGTGCCTGTAATCCCAGCTACTCAGGAGGCTGAGGCAGGAGAATTGCCGGAACCCATGAGGCGGAGGTTGTGGTGAGCCGAGATTGCGCCATTGCACTCCAGGCTAGGTAACAAGAGCGAAACTCCATCTAAAAAAAAAAAAAAAAAAAAAAAAATCTATTCTGTCTTACTATTGCTATTCCTGCTCTTTTTTGGTTTCCATTGGCATGGAGTAGCTTTTTCCATCCCTTTATTTTCAGTCTATGTGTATCTCTATAGGTGAAATGTGTTTCTTCTAGGCAACAGATCACTGGGCTCTGCTTTTTCATCCGTTCAACCACTCTATGTCTTCGTATTGGAGAGTTTAGTCCATTTACATTCAATGTTATTGCCAAGTAGGGACTTCCTGCTGCCATTTTGTTACTTGTTTTCTCACTGTTCTGTGGTCTTCTCTTTCTTTTTTTTCTTTCTTTCCTTCTTGTCTTGCTTTTAGTGAAGGTGATTTTCTCTGCTGGCTGGTGGTATGATTTAATTTCTTGCTTCTATTTTTTGTGTATCCACTGTGTGTTTTTTCTTTCTATTTTTGAGACAGTCTCATGTATTGTGTGTTTTTCGATTTGAGGTTACTGTGAGGCTTGCAAATACTATCTTATAACTCACTATTATAAACTGATGTCAACTTAACACTGATCGAATAAATAAACATAAAGCAAAAAGAAAACTAATGAAAACTCTACACTTTACCTTCATCTCAGCACTTTTTAACTTTTTGTTGTTTCTGTTTACGTCTTTTTTTTTTTTTTTTTTTTGAGATGGAATCTAGCTTTGTTGTCCAAGCTGGAGTGCAGTGGCATGATCTCAGCTCTCAGCTCACTGTAAACTCTGCCTCCCAGGTTCAAACAATTCTCCTGCCTCAGCTTCCTGAGTAGCAGGTGGCCACCACCATGCGCAGCTAATTTTTTTGTGTGTTTTTGCTGAGACAGGGTTTCACCATGTTGGCCCGGCTGGTCTTGAACTCCTGACCTCAAGGTGTTATGCCTGCCTTGGCCTCCCAAAGAGCTGGGACTACAGGTGAGAGCCATGGTGCCCAGCCTCTGTATGTCTTATTGTACTGTCTATATCTTGAAAAGTTGTTGTAGTTATTTTTGATTGGTTTATCATTTACTTTAATTAAAACTAACTTACACACCACAATTACAGTATTTTTTTTTTTTTTTGACACAGAGTTTCGCCCTTGTTACCCAGGCTGGAGTGCAATGGCGCGATCTCGGCTCACCGCAACCTCCGCCTCCTGGGCTCAGGCAATTCTCCTGCCTCAGCCTCCTGAGTAGCTGGGATTACAGGCACGTGCCACCGTGCCCAGCTAATTTTTTGCGCTTTTAGTAGAGACGGGGTTTCACCATGTTGACCAGGATGGTCTCGATCTCTCGACCTCGTGATCCACCCGCCTCGGCCTCCCAAAGTGCTGGGATTACAGGCTTGAGCCACCGCGCCCGGCTACAGTATTATAATACTGTTTTTCTGTGTGCTTACTAATACCAGTGAGTTTTGCACCTTTAGATGATTTCTTCTTGCTCATTAACATCTTTTTATTCAGATTGAAAAACTCCCTTTAGCATTTCTTATAGGACAGGTCTGCTGTTGATGAAATCTCTCAGCTTTGTCTGGGAAGGTCTTTATTTCTTCCTGTCTGAAGGACATTTTTGCCAAATATGCTATTCTAGGATAAAGGGTTTTTTCCTTCAGCACTTTAAATATGTTATGCCACTGTCTCCTGGCCTGTAAGGTTTCCACTGGAAAGTTGGCTGCCCCATGTATTGGAGCTTCATTGTATGGTATTTGCTTTTTTTGTTCTTGGTGCTTTCAGGATTCTTTCTTTATCCTTGACCTTTGGGAGTTTAATTATCAGACACCTTGAGGTAGTCTTTGGGTTAAATATGCTTGGTGTTCTATAAACTTCTTGTAACCGAATGTTGATATCTTTCTCTAGGTTTGGGATGTTCTCTGTTGTTATCCTTTTGAATAAGCTTTCTACCCCATGTCTTTCTCTGCCTCCTCTTTAAAGCCAATGACTCATAGATTTTCCCTATGACTTAATAACTTTAATTATGATTTATTCATAGATTTGCCCGTAAACATATATATATTTTACATATATATATGTGTGTGTGTGTATGTGTGTGTGTGTGTGTGTGTGTGTGTACTTTTTTTTTTTTTTTTTGAGACAGGATATCTCTCTGTCACTTAGGCTGGAGTGCAGTGGTGTGATCTCAGCTCACTGCAGCCTCTGCTTCCCAAGTTCAAGCAATTCTCCTTCCTCAGCTTCCCAAGTAGCTGGGAATACAGGCACCTCCTACCACACATAGCTAATTTTTTGTATTTTTAGTAGAGACAGGGTTTCAACATGTTGGCCTGGGTGATCTTGAATTCCTGACCTCAGGTGATCCACTCACCTCAACCTCCCAAAATGCTGGGATCATGGGCATGAGCCACCGTGCCCGGCCAATGCTGTGGTTTTTGAAACCTCATAGAGTTACTGCCTTGGTGGTCTTGGATAGGATCTGGAAGAATTCTCTGGATTATCAGACAGAGACTCTTGTTTTCTTCCTTTACTTTTCCCCAAACAAATGGAGTCCCTCTCTCTGTGCTGAGTCACCTGGAGCTGGGGGTGTGGTGATACAGGAACCTCTGTGGCCACCACCACTGGGACTGCACTGGTCACATCTGAGGCCAGCACAGCACTGGGTCTCACCCAAGATCTGCTGGAACCACTGCCTGGCTACTGCTGACGTTCACTCAAGGTCCTAGGGCTCTGCAATCACCAGGTAGTGAAGCCATCTAGGTTTGTGTCCTTCCCCCAGACCCTAGGTGGGTCCAGAGGTGCTGTCTGGGAGCATGGATTATTGTTAACAAACTTAGCAATTTGCCTCTTGTTCTATTCCACTGTGGCTGAGCTGGCATTCACACTGCAGTGCAAAGTGCTTCTGCTGTTGCCTCCACTTTCCACAGACAGGGGGTCCTCTCCAATGGCCACCACCCCCGTCAGCCCATGCTGCGGGGTTCTGGCAGCCCCCACTGGTGTTCACTAAGGCTCAGCAGCTCTTCAGTCAGCTTGTGGTCAATGCTGCCAGGCCTGAGACCCACCCTGCAGGGTAGCAGCCTTCCCTCTGGCCTAGGGCAGGTCCAGAAACACTGTCCAAGAGCCTAGACCTGGACTCGGGGACCCCAGGAGCCTCGTTGGTGCTCTGCCCCACTGTGGCCAGCCTGGTAGATAGGGTGCAAGACCAAGTCCCCTTTCCTCTTCCCTCTCCTCCCTCTCTCACCATCGCCACCAGAGCTGGGAATGTGCTGGGTCACTCCTGAAGTCAGCATGTCTCAGAGCCCAAGGCCCATGATGTACCACCTGGGTATCCCTGCCAGTTATTCAGGGCCCATAGGTGATGAATCCTGCCAGGGCTGGGTCCTTTTTTTCAAGACAGTGGGTTCCCTTCGGCCCCAAAGTGTGTCTAGAATGCCAGTGACCTAGGGCCTGGGCTGGAGGCCTCACTCCTCTGCCCGGTGTCCTCTCCTCCTGTGGTTGAGCTGGTGTCAAGATGCAATACAAGTCCTCATTACTTCTCACTCTCCTCTCCTTGAGCAGAAGAGAGGAATTACTTTCATTGTTTGGCCAGCTGTGCAGTCTGGGGCTGAGGGGGCAAGCACTCCCTTGGCTGCCCTGGCTCCTGGCTCCCTGGGTCATGTGCCACCCCAGTCCCTGGCTCTGAGCCAAGCCCAGGACTAGGAGTTGCAGAGGAACTGCAGTCCTTGGGTCCTAGACCCTCTTGCAAGTTTCCCTAGGATCCCTAAGTACTGTGGCCCATGGTGGGGAGGCTTGCCCAGAAACTCAAGTTCTGGCCACTGGAATAGGCGACTCTTCTCTGGCTAGGGCTGGCCCAGATGCTCCCTTCCAGTTTGGGCACTGACTGAGCTAAACACGGCTTTGGCTTTGCTCTCCACAGTGACAGGCGACACTGAGTTCAGTGTCAGGCCTCCCAGTCATTGCTCTCTCCTTCCTGCAAGTGCACAGAGTTGGTGCTGCATGGTGTCTGCCGGGGGTGAGACAGGTGGCACCAGCAAACCAGGACTGTCTCTCCCACCCGCATCCATGCCTCTTTCTGTGATACAAAGGGAAAACCAGGTACTGTGATGGCTCGCCTGATTTTTGGTACTTGTGACGGTGCTTTTCTGTGTGCAAATAGTTGTTAAAATTTGGTGTTCCCGTGGGGTGAGGGGGAGGATGAATGTTTTGCCACCCCTCTTCTCTCTTTTTTCTTTCTTTTTTTTTTTTTTTTTTGATACAGGGCCTCCTGTGGCCCAGGCTGGAGTACAGTGCTGCAATCATGGCTCAACTGCAGCCTCAACTGCCTGGGTTCAAGTGATTTCCCCCACCTCAGCCTCCTAAGTAGCTTGGACCATAGACCTGCGTCACTGCACCCAGCTAACTTTTAAATTACCTGTAGAGACAGGGTCTCGCCATGTTGCCCAGGCTGGTCTCAAACTCCTGGTCTCAAACTCCTGGGCTCAAGCAATCCTCTTGCCTCAGCCTCCTGAAGTGCTGGGATTACGAGTGTGAGCCACCACGACCAGCTTATCCATTATTTTCAGTGTAGCTAATGGCACACAACAATAACTAAGGGATTGTATATTTAGCTTGTTTCTTGTTATTTTACATTTCCTTACACATCTGCTGTGCCAACTCTGTTGGGTCTTGGTTCTATCATTTCTAAATTCCATAGGTAACTTTTACCTCTTGTAATCGATCACAGTGCAGCTAGTGATATAGTAACTGTGTAGGAATAAAGCTTCATCAGCCCTTTTACCTTCCTTTCTCCAAGTTAAGCTTGCACTAAGTTTCAGAGAGGGTGATTCTAGCGAATCACATTTCTGAAGCCAACTGTGTCTGGAGTCCCCAAGACCTCCCCACTCAGTTCAATGATTTGCTATAAAGACTCACAGAATTCTGAAATGCTGTTATACTCACTGTCATAGTTTATTACACTGAAAAGATTCAGATGAAAGTCAGCAGAGGTCAGTGGTGCCCAGGACAGAGCCCAGGAGAGACACAGCACAGAATTCCCACTGTTGGCCTGGCAGTCTCTCACACCTGTAATCCCAGCAGTTTGGCAAGCTGAGGCTGGTGGATCACCTGAGATCAGGAGTTTGATACCAGCCTAGCCAAGATGGTGAAACCCCGTCTCTAATAAAAATACAAAAATTAACTGGGCACTGTGGCAAGCACCTGTAATCCCAGCTACTTGGGAGACTGAGGCAAGAGACTCACTTGAATCCAGGAGGCAGAGTTTGCACTGAGCCAAGATCACGCCACTGCACTCTAGCCTGGGCGAAAGAGCAAGAATGTCTAAAAGAAAAAAAAAAAATCCTGCTGTTGTCTTCCAGTGCAATCACATGGACAGTGATGGATTCTCCCAGGCACAATGTGTGATACATGCAGAGGCCACGGCCTGTCAGGGACCTCCACCAAGCCCTCATGTCCAGAGGTTTTGCAAGGTTGGTCTTGTATGTATTGAGGACTTGGGTGGCAGACATTAGGTACCAAGTCTCCTGCCCCCTCTGGAGGTCAAACTGATAAAACCAGATGCAAGGTCCCTACCATACATCACATTGTCAGCAGGCTGTCCGGCATGGCTGAGGCTCCAGGAATTCAAAGACACTGTTTCCAGACAGAATACTACCAAAGCACACAGCTCATCTTCCAGGAACTGGTCGAGGTCTTGTTTTTTTTCTAAAAGATCCTGAGACCCTGCCTTCCCCTGAGCTAATGAGTCTACCCTTTACTGCACAGCGGTTCCCTCAGTCTGGAGGCCCACATTTCAGGCCCAACTTAGTCCAGAATACCAGGGGCAGCGGTCCCACCAGCACCATCACAACAGTGACCTCCCTTCATATATGGCACCCCAAAATAAAAGACAAATCATGGAGAGTCAGGAAGCTTTGTGTCAGGGTCACTTCCCAGGGTTCATTCAGCAGTGCCAGAACATTCCCTGGGAAGGACCCATGGAAGCCCAGGACTGAGCCATCACCCTTGGCCTCCGTCACCTCAACACAGGACTGTCCTAGGCAATAAGAGCAAAACTCCACCTGAAAGGAACAAAAATTAGCTGGGTTTGGTGGTGCCTGTAATCTTCGGCTACATGGGGAACTGAGGTAGGAGGTTCACTTGAGGTCAAGACTGCAGTGAGCCGTGATCCTGCGACTGTACTCCAGCCTGAGCAACAGAGGGAGACCCTGTCTAAAAACAAAAAACAACAACAACAAAAACACATATCATGAACAAAGGATCCTCCATAACATTACCACCAGATTTTTCTTCTTTTTTTTGGAAACAGAGTTTTACCCTTGTTGCCCAGACTGGAGTGCAATGGCCCAATCTTGGCTCACCACAACCTCTGCCTCCTGGGTTCAAGTGATTCTCCTGCCTCAGCCTCCCGAGTAGGTGGGACTACAGGTACGTGCCACCACGACCGGGTAATTTTTTGTATATGTTACACCAGATTTCTAATCGGAGACATGGAGGCCAGAAAGCAGCGGAGGACAGTGGCCCTTAGGAAGCCACTGGAGGATGTTGTCACAGGCTGGGGCAAGGGCCTTCAGGATACCAACTGGGAGTTCTGGGAACAGCCCTGTTGCAAGCGAAAAGCCATGGCCAGGCTGGAGTCCGGGAATGTGGGGTGGGCTGGGCTGGGCTGGGCACCAGGTGATAGCCTTGAGCCTTACTGGGAACAGCCTCTGGACAGGAGAGGTAGGGCTTGGCTGAGAATGAGGCTATTTGGTGCTGGTTGTGTGTGTGTGTGTGTGTGTGTGTGAGAGAGAATGCATGTGCTCTGGGTGTGAGTCTGTGTGCATGTGAGCATTGTCTGCGTGTGGGTGGTTTTGTGAGTATGTGAATATGTCCCTGCACGTGTGAACAAGGGGACAAGAGTCTGGGAGTGTAGAAGAGGTGTGTGCACCATCAGGCCTGTGCCTAGCGTCTATGCATGTCAAGAGTGCAGTGTGAAGTGAAGGAACCAGGCCCGTGCACCTCTGATCATCATGAACTCCCAAGGCCTCAGGTGAGTGCCACTGACAGACAAAGGTGGTGAAGGCCACTCTGGAACGGGCAGGTGGGGTGAGGAAAGGGCAAGATCATGTTCTGGAGGAGGGGTTGTGACCACAAAAGGGCACGTGAGCCTAGCAGGGAGGGGGATGGCAGGGTCCACTGAGACCCTGGTTATCCCAGAAGCCTGTGAGGGCTTGGGGAATTGGGAAAGGGAGTGACTTCTCCCACCAGGCCCCTCTACCACCCTACCCTGGGTAAACAGCTGGGACAAGGACCTTTGGTGCAGCCCGTACCTGCCCTGGCCGGACCCTGCACCCACTGGCAGCACAGTCAACAGAGCAGGTTGGCTCACAGCAGAGGGCAAAGGCCATCATCAGCTCCCTTTATAAGGTAACAGTCACACACTCGGTGTGCTGAGAGTGTCCTGCCTGGTTCTCTGTGCCTGGTGGGGTGGGGGTGCCAAGTGTGTCCAGAGGAGCTCAGTGGGCAGCGAGGCAGCCATGGGGCTGGATGCACTGGTGCCCCTGGCCGTGACAGTGGCCATCTTCCTGCTCCTGGTGGACCTGATGCACCGGCGCCAACGCTGGGCTGCACGCTACCCGCCTGGCCCCATGCCACTGCCCGGGCTGGGCAACCTGCTGCATGTGGACTTCCAGAACACACCAAAGAGCTTCAACCAGGTGAGGGAGGAGGTCCTGGAGGGCAGCAGAGGTTCTGAGCACCCCCCACCAGCAGCAAACATGGGTGGTGGGTGAAGCCACAGGCTGGACCAGAAGCCAGCTGCAAAGAGGAAGCAGGTTTGAGGGACTTCTTGGGGAGGGCATTTTTACATAGCCTGAAGGATTAGATTTTCCAAATGTCAAGGAAGAGTAGGGCAAGGGCCTGGAGGTGGGGCTGGACTTAGCAGTGGTTATGCAAGCCTGCTGGGCAGCATAGACTCTGGAGCACAAAGTCCCCTCTGCTGACACTGGAAGGAAAGGCCTTGGGAATGGGAAAGGAGTCAGGGTCCTGAGTGCCATTTAAATCAGGATTCAAGGATGAAGGGGGTGCAGTGACCCAGGTTCAAGCCTTTTGCACTCTGCGTTCCCCCGCCTCACTGCTCACCGGCATGGACCATCATCTGTGAAATGGGATGCTAACTGGGACCTGTCTGCAATTTCGGTGACTCTTGCAATGTCATACCTGGGTCAAACTGAGTTCCTCCGTTATAGAAAGTGTGACCCCCATCCCCACTCCAGGATCAGGAGGCTGGGTCTCCTCCTTCCACCTGCTCACTCCTGCTAGCCCCAAGGGTGGCCCAAGGCTCACTTGGGACTAGGACCTGCAGTCTGGGGAGACCCTGGTTTGACGAAGGCCCTCCCTTTGCAGCTGCGGCGCCGCTTTGGGGACGTGTTCAGCCTGCAGCTGGCCTGGACACCGGTGGTCGTGCTCAACGGGCTGGAGGCCGTGCGTGAGGCGCTGGTGACCCGCGGCGAGGACACCGTCGATCGGCCGCCTGTGCCCATCTACCAGGTCCTGGGCTACGGGCCGCGCTCCCAAGGCAAGTGGCGGTGGAGACGCAGATTACGTTTCCACGGGACTCGGGTGGGCGGTAACTATAGGCCCAGCTGGGCCGAGACGGCTCGGAGCTGTGGATGTGAAACACAGAAAGGCCAGCGAGTGGGCTGGGGACAGCCGGGACACCACCTGATCTGGGGAGGTGCGAGCGTGTGGGCGGGGCCACTGCCCAGTACTGCCCGGGAGCCGGATGGGCGGGGCTGGCGCCTTTCCCAGCTGAAGTGGGTGTCTGGGGGGCTGCGCATGTACTAGAGGCTCAGTGCGGGGGCGGGGGGGAGGGGCCGGGCCGGCGGGATCGTCCTTGAGTGGAAAGGCGGTCAGGGTAGGCAGAGCCAAGTATGGAGTCAAGCACTGCCCCAGGCAGGGGAGTGCAGGCGAGCAAGGTGGATGAGCAGAGCGGAACCTGTGCCCAGCTGGACGGGGCAAGGCAGTACGGAAGGCTAAACGGAATGCAAGTTTGGAGTGGGCGGTGTAGGGCAGGGCCAAGGCCTTCATGCCCATGCTCACAAGCCCCTCTGGTCTCCAGGGGTGTTCCTGGCGCGCTACGGCCCCGCCTGGCGCGAGCAGAGGCGCTTCTCCGTGTCCACCTTACGCAACTTGGGCCTGGGCAAGAAGTCTCTGGAGCAGTGGGTGACCGAGGAGGCCGCCTGCCTCTGTGCTGCTTTCGCAGACCACTCAGGTGGGTGATGGGCAGAGGGGCGCAAGGCAAGAACTGAGAAGGTGGGGAACGAGAAAAGTGAGCCCTGCTCCGCATCTCCTGCCCCCAGGACGCCCCTTTCGCCCCCGCGGCCTCCTGGACAAAGCGGTGAGCAACGTGATCGCCTCCCTCACCTGCAGACGCCGCTTTGAGTATGACGACCCTCGGCTCCTCAGGCTGCTGGACCTAACGCTGGAGGGACTGGCAGAGGAGTCCGGCTTCCTACGCGAGGTGCGGAGCCAGGGACTGTGGGGCGTCTGCAGGGTGAGCTCCCGAGATTCCAGGGCTGCAGCGGGCTTCCAGGGAGCAGGGTTTGCATAGAGGGGTTTGGGAAAAGACAATCCAGGAGAGCCCACTGCAAGAGGAAGGGCCTGGAGGAGGGGCGGAAGTCTCAGACACGGTCGTGGGAGACGTGCGCGCCGGTCAGCAGGGGTTCCAGGTCAGGGGGCACCAAGAGAGGCCAAGGACCCTGTGCCTCCTGTCCACATTGGAGAATTTGATTTTAGGTTTCTCCTTTGCCAGCCCAAGGTAAGGAGAGAACATGGAGGCTGGCACTTGGGGAGGGACTTGGGAGGTCAGTGGTGGGGACAGGCAGGCCCTGGGTCTTCCTGGAGTGGGCTGGGGCCTCAGACTGGTCCAGGTAAAAGCAGAACACAGGAGAAATTGAGACTCCGTTCTGTGTCTGGTGCAGCTGCTGAACGCTATCCCTGTCCTCCTGCACATCCCGTGGCTGGCTGGCAAGGTCTTACGCTCCCAAAAGGCTTTCCTGGACCAGCTGGATGAGCTGCTGAGCGAGCACAGGATGACCTGGGACCCAGCCCAGCCACCCCGAGACCTGACTGAAACCTTCCTGGCAGAGATGGAGAAGGTGGGAGTGGCTGCCAGGGTGGGGAGCAGGAGGATGGTGGGTTGAGGGTCCAGAGAGCAATGAGGAGTGACCAGGCAAAAGCTGGGACTGGTGCATCACCCTGCAAGCAGCACCTGGGTTGACCTGTCTCCTGAGTACCCTCTCGGCCCTGCTCAGGCCAAAGGGAACCCCGAGAGCAGCTTCAATGATGAAAACCTGCGCCTAGTGGTAGCTGATCTGTTCTCTGCTGGGATGGTGACCACCTCGATCACGCTGGCCTGGGGCCTCCTGCTGATGATCCTTCACCCAGATGTGCAGCGTGAGCCCAGCTGGGGCCCAGTATGGGGCACGGGGGTGCACAAGGGAGGAAGGGTACAGACAGGTACTCTGAGCTTAGCTGGGACACCAGGGGCTCCAAGCACAGGCTTGGCCAGGCTCCTGTGAGCCTGACCTCCTCCAACACGGGAGGCAGGAAGGAATGCTCAGGGCCAGTCCTGCGGGTGCTGACCTATTGTGGGGACACATGTCTGCCCAGGCCGTGTCCAACAGGAGATCGATGACGTGATAGGGCGGGTGCGGCGACCAGAGATGGGTGACCAGGCTCACATGCCCTACACCACTGCTGTGATTCACGAGGTGCAGCGCTTTGGGGACATCGTCCCCCTGGGTGTGACCCATATGACATCCCGAGACATTGAAGTGCAGGGCTTCCTCATCCCTAAGGTAGGCCTGGGGCCCTCCTCACTCAGCTCAGCACCAGCCCCTGGTGGGTGCCCCAGCATGGGCACTGCCGGGTGGACCCAGTCTGGGAACCCTGCCCATCCAAACCTCAAAGCCACCACACTGATTGTGGGGTATACAGCAGAGTCAGAGCTATCCTGTCCATCAAGAGCCTGTCCAGTGGGGAAAGGGGGCAGCATGGGCACCCCCAGGAGATATGACGGAGACCTGCTATGGGGTCAGAGTGGGTGCCCAGGAGCTTCTTAGGTGAACTAGCAGTCCAGCTGTGTGCCAGGCAGTGTGTGTCCCGTTTGGTGGCAGGGGTCCCAGCATCCTAGAGCCCAGTCCCCACTGCCAACCTGCATCTCCTGCCCAGGGAACAACGCTCTTCACCAACCTGTCATCGGTGCTGAAGGATGAGGCCAACTGGGAGAAGCCCTTCCGCTTCCACCCTGAACACTTCCTGGATGCCCAGGGCCGCTTTGTGAAGCCAGAGGCCTTCCTGCCTTTCTCAGCAGGTACCTGTGGGGTGCCCTGCTCCCAGCCCTTCTGTGGAGTCTTGCAGGGGTATCGCCCAGGGACCCAGGCTCACTGAGGCCCCTCCCCTACCCACAGGCCGCCGTGCATGCCTCGGGGAGCCCCTGGCCCGCATGGAGCTCTTCCTCTTCTTCACCTGCCTGCTGCAGCGCTTCAGCTTCTCCGTGCCCGCCGGACAGCCCCGGCCCAGCACTCATGGTGTCTTTGCTTTCCTGGTGACCCCTTCCCCTTATGAGCTTTGTGCTGTGCCCCGCTAGAATAGGGTACCTAGTCCTCAGCCTGCTCCCTAGCCAGGAGCCCTGATGTGCAATAAAGCAATGTGGTAGTTTCAACCTGGGTCACCTGCCACGCCTTGTGATGGGCCTCACGGCCTCCCAAGAGCAGCCCCAACCCCTGCCTCCTTCCTGCTTACCCCAGTGCCTGGCCTGGCCGTGTTTGAGACAGGGCTGTGTGGAGATTGAGCATGTGTCAGTTGGCCTTGCCCCTAATCCCATGTCCTCCACTGATCCATCTCTGACTGCCCAGATTGGTGACATGAACTGTACATTGTCCCAGCATCTAGGGAAGGGGCCAGAATGGGCTGACTAGAGGTGTCGGTCAGCCCTGGGTATGGTGGAGAGGGCAGTACTCAGCCTTGAGAGGCCCACAGTTCGGGCCCGACTCAAGTCTACCCTACATCAGGGGCAGCAGTCCCACCAGCACCATCACAGCAGTGACCTCCCTTCGTATACGACACCCCAAAATAAAAGACGAATCATAGGGAGTCAGGGAGCTTTGTGCCGGGGTTACTTCCCAGGGGTTCAGTCGGCAACTGCCAGAATGTTCCCTGGGAAGGACCCATGAAAGCCCAGGACTGAGCCATCACCCCCAGCCTCCATCACCTCACCACAGGACTGGCCACCTCTCCAGGTCCTCAAGGATGCTGCTGTCCAGATGTCTGACCAGTGACAAGTTTCCACTCCGGGCCAGGCTGGAGCTTGAGGAGGACGCTTGTCTGGGCTCCGACCTTAGGGCCATCCTCCCGGTGGCTGGGTCAGGCAGGGCCGTGCATGAGCCCTATGGGCAACAGGCCTGTCTTAGGAACAAGGGGCAACCTTGGACCCATGAGGCACTGGGGTGAACAGAGGAGGTGGTGGCGTGGGTGGCTCAGAGTTAGAGACTCTGACCCTAGTCCTGGCTCTGCCACTACCCAGTGTGACCCTAAGCCTGCCCCTCCCCACCCTGGGCTTCTGTTTCCTTCTGCCAGTGAGAAGCCTGCTTCAGGTGCCCTGAGTCCAATCTTTCTGCTCTGCCTTCTGGGGCTTTGGCCCTTGTTGGTCTGGAGCTGAAGCCCCCACGGAAGGTAGGAACCGCTCTCTGTCAGCACAACTGGCTAGGCTGGGCACACCTTTTTAGGGAACAACCCAGAGCAGAGAACCAGACACTCTGAGAAGTCACCCGAGGCCTCCTTTGTCAGAGGACTGTAGACAGTGGTTCCTGCCAGCATTTCTGTAAATGCCCTCGTGCCAGGGTGCAGCCCAGCTGTCAGCACAAGAGGGACATTGGTCTGTCCCCTGGCACTGAGTCAGAAGGCCGGCCAGGGCCCCCTTGGGCCACTCCAGAGACAGTCCACTGTGGTGGCAGGGCTTGGTGGCAGGAGGTGCCGTTCCTGCCCCTGTGGGACACGGAATGTGGATGAGGCCAGAATGGGTTTGTCTGAAAATGGAGGCCCCGAAAGGCGGCAGCCCAGACTGCAGCAGCAGCAGCAGCTCTTGGATTTTCTGGAAACTTTCTTTGCGGTTCTGAGTCTTGGGGCTGTGGGAGACTGAGAACCAGCTCTGTCACGAGCATGGGACCCAGTCCCAGGGCCTTTACTCATTACTGTCCCCTTCAGAGGCCTCTGGCAAAGTAGAAACTGGCAGCCTTCTAAGTCTCTGCTGGGAACAACCCTCCCTCTGAGATGCCCCAGGAGGGCCACTCAGCTGTGGTGAAAGGACAGGATGCAGCCGGCTCAGGGGAGTAGCCTGGAGTTCCTGCCAACCCAGGGAGGCTCCCGAGAAGGTCAAGACACCTGACTCCTAGGCTGCTTCCCTCCCCTCCCCAGGTCAGGAAGGTGGGAAAGGGCTGGGGGCTCTGTGATCCTAGCAGTCACTGAGATTAACACGTTGGGCCCACGGTCTTACCAGCTGGAGACGCAGCAACTTCCTTTGGAACCTGTTTATTTTCCTGACAGGAAGAAGAGGGACCGAGCAATGAGATCAGGTTCCATGCTGCACCAACAGGGAAACAGGCTCTGTCCACATGAAGTCAGGGGAGGCCAGGATGAGACCCAGTCTGTTCACACATGGCTGCTGCCTCTCAGCTCCGCACAGATGTCCTCGCTCCCCTAAAATGGCAGCTTGGCCTGCTCATCTTGGGATTGAGCCAGCCTCCAGCAGTGCCTCTCTGCCTGCTCAGTTGGGACTCATGCTGGAGATGTTCCAGTTGAAGCCCCAGGCTGTCCTTACCTCCCAGCCTGGGGTCCCTGCCACCTCTTGCTCAGCAGGAATGGGGCTAGATGCTTCCTTCCATAGGGACTTCACCTGCTCTCCCTCCTGAGACAAGATGGCAGCTTCCTCCTTGAGGAGCAACATCATTCAGTCCTCCAGGTCCCCTAGGGGTCAAGAGCTGCAAGAGGAATAAGAGGGTAGACTATGGGCAGATAGGCCTCAGAAGCCAAGTGCAGTGGTTCACGCCTGTAATCCCAGCACTTTGGGAGGCTGAGGTGGGTGGATCACTTGAGGTCAGGAGTTTGAGACCAGCCTGACCAACATGGAGAAATCCCATCTCTACTAAAAATACAAAAAAATTAGCCAGGCATGGTGGCGTGTACCTGCAATCCCAGCTGCTCGGGAGGGCTGGACAGGAGAACTGCTTGAACCCAGGTGGCGAAGGTTGCAGTTGGACGAGATTGCACCATTGCACTCCAGCCTGGCCAACAAGAGCAAAACTCCATCTCAAAAAAAAAAAACATCTTCAGAACATCTCATCCTCCTCATGTTCTCACACTAGGGTGCCACAGTTCTGGGAAGTTCTTCCTTTTCAGTTGAGCTGTGGTAACCTTGTGAGTTTCCTGGAGGGGGCCCGCCACTACCCTGGGACTCCCCGCCCTGTATGTACCTGAGCTCCGACAGAAGAGAGCCCCAGCCCAGGGCCTTCCAGGGGAAGCCTTACCTCAGAGGCTGGCTTCCCCCTCCTGTGTGTCTGCAGAGAGAAGTGGGAGGGGTGACACACAGCTACGAGTGCCGAGCAGTCCTTCCCCAACTGGCCCACCCTCTCCAGGTGCAGTCCTCCTTACCGTGTCTGCCAAGGGTACCCAGCACAGCCACCCCACTCCAGGGGAAGAGAAGTGCCTAGCCCTTACCCACTTGAGTGGGCACCATGTAGCATTTATTCATTAGCCCCCACACTGACCTTACAGTCTCCCCTGTGGACTGCGTGACACAGAGAGAGAAAGGCTGAGGTGAGATCTACTGCCAAAACCTAAACTTAAAAAATCTTTAATTGGGCCAAGCATGGTAGTTCATGCCTATAATCCCAGAACTTTGGGAGGCCGAGGCTGGTGAATCACCTGAGGTCAAGAGTTGGAGACCAGTCTGGCCAACATGGAGAAACCCTGTCTCTACTAAAAATACAAAAATTAGGTGAGCATGGTGCTGTGCACCTGTACTCCCAGCTACTCGGGAGGCTGAGGCAGGAGAATCACTTGAACCTGGGAGGCAGAGGTTGCAGTGAGCCGAGATTGTACCACTGCACTCCAGCCTGGGCATGAAGATTGAAACACTCAAAAAAAAAAAAAATCTATAATTGATATCTTTAGAAAGATAAAACTTTACATTTATGAAATAACAGGAGGTTCTAAAATAAAATGTTCACACACTCACTACCACTAATTCTTGATAAAAATATAGTCTCGGTACAGTAGCTCATGCCTGTAATCCCAGCATTTTGGGAGGCTAAGGCAGGAGGGTTGCTTGAGTCTAGGAGTTCAAGACCAGCCTGAGAAACATAAGAAGACCCTGTCTCAGACCGGGCGCGGTGGCTCAAGCCTGTAATCCCAGCACTCCGGGAGGCCGAGGCAGGTGGATCACGAGGTCAAGAGATCAAGACCATCCTCCGTCAACATGGTGAAACCCCGTCTCCACTAAAAATACAAAAAACTAGCTGGGCATGGTGGCGTGTGCCTGTAATCCCAGCTACTCAGGAGGCTGGGGCAGGAGAATTGCCTGAACCCAGGAGGCGGAGGTTGCAGTGAGCCGAGATCGCGCCATTGCACTCCAGCCTGGGTAACAAGAGCGAAACTCCGTCTCAAAAAACAACAACAACAACAACAAAAGACGACCCTGTCTCTACAAAAAATTAAAATACTAGCCAGGTGTGGTGGCACACGCCTGTAGTTCCAGATGCTTGGGAGGCTCAGGTGGGAGGATCACTTGAGTCTGGGAGTATGAGGCTGCAATGAGCTATGACTGTACCACTGTACTCCAGCCTGGGCAACAGAGACTCTGCCTTAAAAATAGAAAATAAAAGTCGGGCATGGTGGCTCACGCCTGTAATCCTAGCACTTTGGGAGGCTGAGGTGGGTGGACTGCCTGAGCTCACTAGTTCGAGACCAGCCCAGGCAACATGGTGAAACCCCATTTTAAAAAATATATATATATATAGAAAATAAAGTAATAGGAATGAAGATCCAAATACACACACACACACACACACACACACACACACACACACATATATATATATTCCCCCCCCCCCCCCCCCCCCAGAAAGAAGAGAGAAGAGATCAGAAGCTCCAACAGCTAAATTACAGCTAAATTACAGCTAAATTGTTTGGATGTTTCTGAAAGAGGCAGCAGAGAAAAGAGACTAGGGGACAGGGAGAGATTCAAATAAGTTTCTTTTTTGTCAAGACAATTTCTCAGAGAAAGAAACACCAAGAGTTCAGGACAATGGATGAAGGGGATCCAGCCCAGATTTTGTTGTCAATAAATTGCACAACATGGAGGACAAAGAATAGAACCTAAAAACTTCCAGAGTTATAAACAAAAAGTCTGAGCTTTAGGAATTCAGTGTTCATCAAACTTTCCAACACCAACCTTTGAAGCTATAAGATAATGAGGACCTTTAAAATCTGAGAAAATATTTCCAATCTAGAATTCTATACCTAGCCAAATGCTATGCAAGTATGAATTAAGACCTTTTCGGATACAAAATGTCTTAGGACAACCCCTCAGGAAGCAACTGGAGGCTGTACTCCACTAAAATTAAGAGGAAATAAAAGATAACATGGGACCAAGCACTACAGGCAGGGAAGAGCCCCCCAGCCTAAGAGTGAATGGAGAGCTCAGCAGGACAGCTGGGCAGCAGACCTCAAGGGCACCCTGTCTACTTAGAATCAGGGAGATGAGATGGAGGGCTCTCTGAGATATGTCTCCATGAAAATGATCATATGGATAAATGGCCTGATCTGTCTAAACGTATTACAAAGATATTTCTGTTTTTGGCAGAAAACTTGGATGAATTAATTATATAATAGATACAGCAAAAACAAAATAAATTAAAAAGAATAAAAACCAAAATCATGATTCAAATGGGACTACTGCTTACATTTTTTGTTTTGAGACAGGGTCTTGCTCTGTTGCCCAGACTGGAGTGTGGTGGCGTGATCATGGTTCACGGTGACCTCCACATCCTGTGCTCAAGTAAGTGACCCTTCCACCTCAGCCTCTAGTAGCTGAGATTACAAGGCATCCAGCTAATTACCATGCCCAGCTTTTTTTTTTTTTTTTTTTTAAATAGAGACATGGTCTCCCAATGCTGTCCAGGCAGGTCTCAAACTCCTGGGCTCAAACAATCCTCCCCTGTTGATCTCTCAAGAAGCTGGGATTATAAGCATAAACCACTGTGCCTGACCTAATTTTTTTCTGAATTTTTTTTTGGTACAGAGTCTATGTTGAACAGGCTTGTCTTGAACTGCAGAGCTCAAATGATCCTCCTGCCTTGGCCTACCAAAGTACTGAGATTATAGTCATGATCTATTGCGCCTGGTCTGTTTACACAGTTTTAATAACATAAACCCTCATATTGACCTAATAAAATTTGAAATCTGCCTTTTAGAATGGCTTTCAAAAGAAACAAATGCTGAAGAGGATATAGAACAACTGGAGTGTCTTGGTTATTGCTGCTGAGATAGCCACTTAGAAAAAGTTTTGAGTTTCTACAAAATTAAACTTACACTTACCATATGACCCAAATTCCACTGCTATTTACCCAAGTGTAGGCAAAATCTATGTTCACACAAAACTTGTATGTGAATATTAATAGTGATTTATAATCACCCCAAACTAGAAACTGTCCAAATGTTCTGGTACATCCATACAATGAACCACCACTCAACACTAAATGGGGGCCGGGCGCGGTGGCTCATGCCTGTAATGCCAGCACTTTGGAAGGCCAAGGTGGGTGGATCATGAGGTCAAGAGATCAAGACCATCCCAGCCAAAACAGTGAAACCCCATCTCTACTAAAATACAAAAGTTAGCTGGGCATGGTGGCACATGCCTGTAGTCCCAGCTACTTGGGAGGCTGAGGCAGGAGAACCACTTGAACCCAGGAGGCAGAGGTTGCAGTAAACCGAGATTGCGCCACTGCACTCCAGCCTGGTGCCTGGGCTCTCTGCTGACAGCCATGGTTCCATGCCTCTACCTACTTCAAAACCCAGCCCTGCAGTCTGGAGCACACAGAGAAACCTGCTCCCTCCCCTCTTCTTTCCATTCATAATTGTTTACACGGATCCATCCTGCAAAGAGGCCAAGCCCAACCAGAAGTCAGGGACCAGACTTTTGGCCTTGGCTGGGCATTCAGAGTTGGAAGAGCTCTTTTCCTTGTATCCCTCTCCAAAGCCCTTCTTACTCTGTAGTGACAGGTCCCACAACCCAGATTAAAGATAATATTCTGGCCAGGTGCAGTGGCACATGCCTGTAATCCCAGCACTTTGGGAGGCCAAAGCAGACATCGAGGTCACGAGGTCAAGAGATCCAGACCATCCTGGCCAACATGGTAAAACCACATCTCTACTAAAACTAAAAAAATTAGCTGGGCGTGGGGGTGCACACCTGGTCTCAGGTACTTGGGAGGCTGAGGCAGGAGAATCGCTTGAACCCAAGAGATGCAGGTTGTAGGGAGCTGAGATCATGCCACTGCACTCCAGCCTGGTAACAGAGCAAGACTCCATCTCCAAAAAAAACAAAAAATAATACCCCATGACCCTTTCTTTTCTTCTGGGGCCCCTCCCTTGGGACAAATAGGGCATCTTGGCACTGTCACTGATGGTGGCTCCCTGTCCGTACACATGCACATGTACACACACACACACGCATAGACACACAGACGTGCACATGCACACATAGGCATACACACACACACACAGATGCAGACACACACATGCACACACCCAGACATGCACATGTACAGACACACAGGTACAGAGACACAATACATACACACATGCACACACGTGCGCGCCCTCTGCCAGGAACAGGCCCTCCCCCTTGAGCTCCTGCTGCTGCCCCAACACTTGCTCTTTCACCCTGACTCCCAGTCAGGGAGACACTACGCAGTCAGGAAAGGCGTGGAGAGCCCTACTCTCCCTTCCTCTTAGGCCCAAGTGGAGGTCCCCCTCCTTGTCATTCGGGGCGTGGTAACAGGCCCCACAGAAACTTTACCTCTCTTTCTGGCAGCATAGACCAAATGCCATTTTCAGTCTAGGAAGAAAAAATGGACAACAGTCAATGCATCCTTGCTCTGTGACTGGTAGGGATGGCAACGGGCCCAAGGCTGCTGGGGCAATGGCAAGAACCTCTACCCCCAGGGTCAGCCAGAGCATGGCCTGCTGGTGACAGCAGGAGCAGCTTGGCATCACGAGGAGCTTGGGAAATGTTCAGGAACTTCTCCCAAGACCATTGTGCCCCCAAACAAATGCTGGTTTCAATGTCCTCAGAGCTGGAGAGGTAGGTCCCAGTGAAACAAGATGAAAAAAAGGGGTGGGACAGGATTCAGGAAAAAGGCATCACTTTATTGATCATTTGGTGTAAAATGTCCACAGGTGTAGGTGGCTAATTATTACAGTGAATAATAGTGGTTAAAAACTACCAACACTTTGAAGTGTTTTCTGGTTTAGGCAGCATTTAAAAAATAACTCTGGGGAACTAGAAGAGACTTTCTAGGTTCCTCAAAATACCTTTCTCTGCCTGAAACCCCACCATGAGTGTCAGAATCCCACCAAGACTCACAGGTCTCAGGTCCATTGTAAAGCCCTGGGTCTCTCATGTGAGAGGGGCCCCTGCTTGCAGCCTGGCAGTCTCTGTTTCCCATTCTCCACAGGAACCATTTTAAATTCTCTGTTTTTTTTGAGAGGGTCTCACTCTGTCATGCAGGCTGGAGTGCAGTGGTCTGATCTCAGCTCACTGCAACCTCTGCCTCCTAGATTCAAGCGATTCTCGTGCCTCAGCTTCCCAAGTACCTGGGACTACGGGCATGCACACCACCACACCCAGCTAGTTTTTGTATTTTCAGTAGAGACAAGGTTTCGCTATGTTGGCCAGGCTGAACTTGAACTCCTGACCTCAGGTGATCCACCTGCTTCGGCCTCCCAAAGTGCTGGGATTACAGGTGTGAGCCACCATGCCCAGCACTCTTTTTTTTTTTTTTTTTTTTTTGAGATAGGATCTTGCTATGTCACTCAGGCTAGAGTGGAGTGTCGTGATCACTGCTCACGGCAGCCTCAACATCCCACACTCAAGTGATCTTCCCACTTCAGTTTCCTGAATAGCTGGGACCACAGGCACATAGCACCAGGCCCAGCTAGTTTTTTGTTTTTTGTTTTTTTTTAGAGACAGGGTCTCACTATGTTGCCCAGGCTGGTCTTGAACTCCTGGGATCCACCAATCCTCCTGCCTTGGCTTCCTGAAGTGTTGGGATTAAAGGAGTGGGTCATAGTGCCCAGCCCTTATTCTCTCTTTAACCTCTAACTCCGCCTCTGTCTTCCTCACTTTCAGCAGAGAACACAGGCACCATCAGATGGGCATTTCGACTTTATGCCACCAAACCCATCCATTCACTGGCTTCTCCTAGGCCATTTCCTCTTGGCCTATAAGAGGAAGCCACAGGCCAAGGGGTGCCTTGGCCAGGGAAGGAGGGAAGGAGGGGAGAAGGCAGCCCTTGCCTCTTTGAGACTAGCCTTCCTCCTGTACCTGATTTCATCTGGTCTTCTCACCTGGACACTTGGGGATCTCCTGTCTCACCTCAATATTCTCCTTTTCTTCTGGCTCCTTCCATCAGCATCTAAACACATTGCTGATCTCTTCCATTAAAAAGAAAAAAGCCAGCTGGGCGCTGTGGCTCACATCTGTAATCCCAGCACTTTGGGAGGACAACGCGGGCAGATCACCTGAAGTCAGGAGTTCAAGACCAGCCTGACCAACATGGAGAAACCCTGTCTCTACTAAAAATACAAAAGTATCCGGGCGTGGTGGTGCATGCCTGTAATCCCAGTTACTCAGGAGGCTGAGGGAGGAGAATCGCTTGAACCTGGGAGGTGGAGTTTGCAGTGGGCCGAGATCATGCCACTGCACTCCAAGGGCAACAAAAGCAAAACTTCATCTCAAAAAAAAAAAAAAGAAAAAAAAGAAAAAAAGAGAAAGAAACGAAAAAAAGAAAAAAGCCTTGCTCCCTTGAAGCCGTATTCTTTCTCCAGTTACTGTCCTAACTGACCCCTACACTTAACACCAGTCCCCTTGAGAGCGGTGTCAGCAGGGGGTGTGTTTACTGCTTCCTACCTCCCCCGCACTCAACAACCCACTTTCTGTCCCCATAAGCCTCTGAAACCACTCTCACTGAGGTCACCAATTCACTCCTAGTCACCAAACCCAGCTGACCCTTTCTTTAACAACCTCACCTTCCCTCCTGGCTGCTTGACCTCTTTATGTTCTGGTTTTCCTACTACCTCCCACTCCTCTCTTTCTCTTTCATGCTCTGGTTTTCCTCCTACCTGTCCCTGTCTCTCTGTCTGTCTCTCTCCCTCTCATTTTCTCTCTCCCTCTGCCTAAATCTCAATGTCAGGGTTGCTCCATGTCCTGCTGCTGACAACAGAGGCTCTGAACCTTCACCTCAGACACTCTCACTTCTAGTCCTTTGTACATGCTGTCTTTACCTAGAATGTGCTTCTCTATGGCTTTCAGGAAGGCTTCCCTGACTACTTGAGTTCACATGGGGTAGCCCTCTTCAGTGCTCTTAGGGTACTGTACGGTCTCCTGGCTGAGAGACCACTTTAGGCCCATCCACTGTCAAACCCCCAGTAGCTGCCCTCATGCATGGGACACAGCAAGAGCTCAGTAACCAAATGAATGAATGATTACATGACTGTGACTCATCCTAGCACTTAAAGCCCTGATAAGAGTTGAAAAGTTGCTGTACCTTACTCAGAACCCTGCTAGCAATATATTTAATAGTAAGCTTTGTTAGTTATCTATAACTCGATGTGAGTGAAGTTATCAGGTTTCTTTCTGGGAGGAGGTTTAGAGGAGGAAAGGAGAGGAATGAGTCTTAAAGGAGAGGAGAGGAGCAGAAGGACATGCCAAGTAGGAAAGGATGCAGAAAAGGTAGCCTTGGGGTAAAAAAAAATATTTATCTGCTTGGGTGGTTTACTAAGTGCAGGCTTTTAGGCCTGCTTACCAAAGAGGCCAACCTTAATAAAGCTAGTGATTTGCAGATAATCCTTTTACCATATCAGTGTCAGGCAGCTTATCCACCTCCTCTTGGGCTCTAGGACCAAACCCGAGAAGAGCACTGGAGCCCAGCTAAGTCTGGCAGTCCAGTGCACAGCCTCCCCCTCCACCAACTTTGCAGGGAGAGTGGTGTCTATGTGTGACATCATGTCTTAGGGGGCTTTATGACGGGACAACCTCTTCAACCTTGGTCAGAACAGCTTGTCAAATGCCTCAGGGTGGCTTTAAATCCCCAGTAGTGAGAGGTAGCCCCTTTGGACATATCTCGTTGGTTCAATTCAGCACAAACAGTGCTAACTGAGCAGCCACAATGTGCCAAGCTCTGTGTGAAGTCCCATAGAGACACAAAAACACAAAGGTGTGTAAGCCTCAGTCTTTTTTTTTTTTTTGAGACAGAGTTTTGATCTGTTGCCCAGGCTGGAGTACAGTGGCGCTCCAGGTAACGTCTGCCTCACAGGTTCAAGAGATTCTCGTGCCTAAGGCTCCCAAGTAGCTGGGATTATAAGTACGTATTACCATGCCTAATTTTTTGTATTTTCAGTAGAGACAGGGTCTCATCATGTTGGCCAGGCTGGTCTCAAACTCCTGGCCTCAAGTGATCCACCCGCCTCGGTCTACCAAAAAGTATTGAGATTACAGGAGTAAGCCACTGCATCCAGCCAAAATTCAGTATTATTGCCTAAAACAGTAAGCATATTTTCTAAATCAAAAACCAGAACACAGCCTAACAACTACATATCATCCATCCATTCATTCATTCATTCAACCAGTGTCTGCTGAGCTTCCATTTTGGACCAAGCACTATGCTGAGATGATAAAAGGTTAACAAAACATAGAGCTTACCCTTGAGGAGCCTGAAGACTTCAAACAGACATCTTATGGTTCAAGACAGTAACTTCTACCTTCCTCCAAATTTCTGTAAATATAACAATAATAATTACAAATCTATGGGTGGTTGAAACTGAGGGATGGATGCCTCAGTTTCACATACACATAAAACATTCACCAAGATAGGCCAGATTCTGGACCACAAAACAAATCTCAGTATCTTTTAAATTTATTTCAAGTATGTCCTTCAACCACTGTGGCATTAAAAATTAGAAATCAGTAACAGAAAGATTCCTGGAAAGGAGTCTGAACTCAGACTCACCTAACCTGGCCCCCACCTGACGGTATTTCTCTACCGGTTCTGGTAACTGATCCAAAAGCCATAAACTCTTGGGAGCTTTATGGCCATCACCTGAGAAACCTGAATACTTATTCCTGGCCAACTTGGGGCAAGCTTAGATCCCCCTTCTCAGATTGCAGCTGGTGCTCTCAAAGCACCACCTTCTGGCTGGAGGTCAACCAAGTCAGGAAATTATAGCAACTCACAACAGAATAACCCTGCTCCAAGGAAGAATACAACAGCTAATTCCACAGCCTGCAACACCCTGGCTAACCAGAGGTCCTGAGTCTGTCCACGTGACAACTTCACTGCTAGCACAACCAGCATTTGAAAAAGCCAGCACACTAAACAAAACTACAAGCAAGGACCCTCACACTCACAGTCTACTTTACTCCCCTCCCACCTCCAGCAGAGCAGGTGAAGATGGATCATATCACAGGACTCTTTGCAGACATTCCCCAGCACTGGCCTGGAACCTGGTAGCCCCACTGAGTGGCTGGACCCAGAAGAGCAATGGCAATCACTGCAGTCTGGCTCCCGGGAAGTTCCATTCCTAGGGGATGGGGGAGCCCATCACATGAAGGAGTCACTCTGTGGGACAAAAGAATCTGAACAGCAGCCCTTGAGTTCCAGATTTTTCCCCTGAAATAGTCTACACAAATGAGAAATCACAAAAGCAATTTGTAATATGATAAAACAAGGTTCTATAACACCCCCAAAAGACCATACTAGCTCCCCAGCAATAAATCCAAATCAAGAATAAATCTCTGAATTGCCAGATAAAGAATTCAGAAGGTAGATTATTAAACTGCTCAAGGAGATACCAGAGAAAGGTGAAAACTAACATAAAGAAATTTAAAAATTAATACAAGCTTTGGATTGGTCAGGCCCAGTGGCTCACACCTGTAAACCCAGCACTTTGGAAGTCTAAGGTGGGCAGATCACTTAAGGTCAAGCGTTTGAGACCAGCCTCGTCAACAAAGTGAAACCCCATCTCTACCAAAAATACAAAAATTAGCCAGGCATGGTGGTACGCGCCTGTAATCCCAGCTACTCGGGAGGCTGAGGCAGGAGGATTGCTTGAACCCAGAAAGCAGAAATTGCAGTGAGCTGAGATTGCACCACTGCACTCTAGTCTGGGCGACAAAGTGAGACCCTGTCTCAAAAAAAACAAAAAACAAAAAGCGAAAAACAACAACAAAAAAATACAAGCTATGGATGAAAAATTCTCCGGAGAAATAGGTATTGTAAAGAAAAAACAATCACAATTTCTGGAAATGGAAGACACACTTAGAGAAATACAAAATGCACTGGGAAGTGTTACCAGTTGACTAGAACAAGTAAAAGAAAGAACTTCAGAGCTTGAAGACAAAGCATTTAAAGTAACTCAACCAGACAAACACAAATTTAAAAAATGAACAAAGCCTCCAAGAAATTTGGGGTTATGTTAAATAGCCAAATCTAAAAACAATTGGTGTTCCTGAGGAAGAAGACAAACCTAAACATTTTGAAAGCTTATTTGAGGAAATAATCAAGGGAAAGTTCCTTGGCCTTGCCAGAGATTTAGACATCCAAATACAAGAAGCTCAAAGAACACCTAAAAAATTAATTGAAAAAAGATCACAAGTTAGGCACACAAAGGCACACAGTCATCAGGTTATCTAAAGTCAAGATGAAGCAAAGGATCTTAAGAGGGGTGAAGCAAAAGCATCAGGGAACCTATAAAGGAAAACCTATCAGATTAACAGCAGATTTCCCAGCAGAAACCCTATAAGCCAGAAGGGATTGGGGTCCAATCTTTAGCCTCCTCAAACAAAATGATTGCCAGCCAAGAATTTTGTATCCAGCAAAAATAAGCTTCATAAATGAAGGAGAGAGTCTTTTTCAGACAAACAAATGCTGAGAGAATCTGCCACTACCAAGCCAGAACTACAAGAAATGCCAAAAAGAGTTATAAATCTTGAAACAAAAATAGAATCTCCTTTTTTTTTTTGAGACGGAGTTTCGCTCTTGTTACCCAGGCTGGAGTGCAATGGCGCGATCTCGGCTCACCGCAACCTCCGCCTCCTGGGTTCAGGCAATTCTCCTGCCTCAGCCTCCCGAGTAGCTGGGATTACAGGCACGCGCCACCATGCCCAGCTAATTTTTTGTATTTTTAGTAGAGACGGGGTTTCACCATGTTGACCATGATGGTCTCGATCTCTCGACCTCGTGATCCACCCGCCTCGGCCTCCCAAAGTGCTGGGATTACAGGCTTGAGCCACCGTGCCCGGCCAGAATCTCCTTTAAGTAGATATCTCACAAGGCCTATAAAACAGTAACACAATTTTTAAAAACCCAAGGTATTCAGGCAACAACTATCACTATAAATAAAACAATATCTCACATCTCAATACTAACATTGAATGTAAATGGCCTAAATGCTCCACTTAAAAGACACAAAATGGCAGAATGGACAAAATTCACTAAGTATCTGCTGTCTTCAAGAGACTCGCCAAATGCATAACGACTCATGTAAACTTAAGGTAAAGGGGTAGAAAGATAGTCCATGCAAATGGAAACCAAAGCGAGCAAGAGCAGCTATTCTTATGTCACTCAAACAGACTTTAAAGCAATAACAGTCAAAAAAGAAAGGGCTGGGCACGGTGGCTCATGCCTGTAACCCCAGCACTATAGGAGGCCGAGGCGGGCAGATCATGAGATCATGAGATCAAGACCATCCTGGCCAACATGGTGAAACCCCATCTCTCCTAAAACACAAAAAAATTAGCAGTGTGTGGTGGTACACACCTGTAGTCTCAGCTACTCAGGAGGCTGAGGCAGGAGAATTGCTTGAACCCAGGAGGTGGAGATTGCAATAAGCTGAGATTGCGCCACTGCGCTATAGCCTGGGCGACAGTGCTAGACTCCGTCTAAAAAAAAAAAAAAGACAAAAAGGGACATTATATGATAAAAAAAAGAAAAAAATCAGTCCAACAGGAAAATATCACAATTCCAAATACATATGCACCTTAACACTGGAGTTCCCAGTATATAAAACAATTATTACCAGACATAAGAAATGAGATAGATGGGCCTCATAAACACAGATGCAAGTATTAACAAAACCTTATCACACTGAAAATAATATGTAAATATATACAACATTATCAATGGCATTTACTTCGAGGAATGCAAGGTTGGTTCAAATTTAAAAACCAATAAATTTTACCATGTTAACAGACTGAAGAAGAAACACTACATGATTATCTCAATAAATGCATAAAATATATTTCACAAAATCAACATCTGTTCCTGAGAGAAAAAAAAAATCCCGAGTAAACTAGGAGTTCATGGAAACATTTTCAATCCGATGAAGGGCATCTACAAAAAACCTATAGCTAGCAATGTATACTCAATAGTAAAATATTAAATGCTTTGCTCCTAAGTTCAGGAATGTCTTAAATTTATTTATTTTATTCATTATTATTATTTTTGAGACAGAGTTTCACTCTTGTCACTCAGGCTGGAGTACAATAGTGCAATCTCAGCTCACTGCAACCTCCGCCTCCCAGGTTTAAGACATTCTCCTACCTACGTCCTAAGTAGCTAAGATTACAGGTGCCCGCCACCATACCCGGCTAATTTTTATATTTTTAGTAGACTGGGTTTCACTATGTTGGCCAGGCTGGTCTCAAAGTCCTGACCTAGGTGATCTGCCCACCTTGGCCTCCCAAAGTGTTGGCATTACAGGCATAAGCCACCACACCCAGCCAGAAATGTCTTAAGGCAAAAAATGTCTGCCCTCAATCACTTATTTATTTTTTTCTTGAGATGGAGTCCTTTTTTTTTTTTTTTTTTTTTTTTTTTTGAAGCAGTAAGAAAGGGAAAGGAGGAGGGAGGGAAGAAGGGAAGGAGGGAAGGAAAGATGAACAGATGGACAAAACAGTAAACACAGCCTCTGGGACCTGTGACACTATTAATAAAAGATCAGAGTGGGGTGTGATAGCTCATGCCTGTAATCCCAGCATTTTGGGAGGCAGAAGGAGGAGGATTTCTCAAGCCCAGGAGTTTGAGACCAGTCTGGACAGCATAGTGAGATGCCATCTCTACAAAAAAATACAAAAATTAACTGAGTGTGGTGATGCACACCTGTGGTCCCAGCTACTCTAGGGGCTGAGGTGGGAGTGACGCTTGTGCCCAGAAGGTCTAGGTTGCAGTGGGCCATGATTGTGCCACTCTATTCCAGCCTGGGTAACAGAGCAAGACCCTGTCTCAAATAAATAAACAAATGAACAAATAATCAAAGAAAACTTTCCTATTTGGCAAAATGTATAAAACAACAGATTCTGGCCAGGTGCAGTGGCTCATGCTTATAATCCCAGAACTTCAGGAGGCCGAGGGGGGCAAATCATGAGGTCAAGAGATTGAGACCATCCTGGCCAACATGGTGAAACCCTTCTCTACTGAAAATACAAAAATTAGCTGGACGTGGTGGTGCACGCCTGTAGTCCCAGCTACTTGGGAGGCTGAGGCAGGAGAATCGCTTAAACCTGGGAGACAGAGGTTGCAGTGAGCTGATATCCTGCCACTGTGCTCCAGCCTGGGTGACAGAATGAGATTCTGTCTCAAAAAAATAAAATAAATAAAAATAAAGAGGCTTAGAGAATTCCAATCAGGTCAAACCTGCAGTTCATACCAAGACACATTATAGTCAAACTTGTGAAAACAAAACAAAAAATTTTTTTGAAAACAGCCAGAGGAAAACA